CAGGTGGTTGGACCAAGACGGAAAGACAAAAAACAGTTATGAAAAGGGATTTGGAGCTTTTCTCTTCGCTCCTGCTTTTTCTCCCATTGGTCCAGAAGTACGGAAGTGTGGGGAGTTGCCATGACAACTATGTCCTTTTGCCCCTTAGCATCTCTATGCCAGTATTCGGGGCGGAGGTGGGAGGCAGAGGCGGAAGAGGTAGTGAAGAAGGGCAACAAAAGATAAAATTCCTCATCTGGCTCTGACTGAAAAATTATGTGTTCCCGGCTTTCCCACCAGTAATCCAGAAGATGTTCGGGGAGAAAGCCGAGAGAAGAGTACGCACCGCCCCTCCTTCCCTCCTCCCAGTCTAGGAAACTTTGGGGACAGGTGCTTCGTGACCGGGTCAGGAGAAAGTGGGGAGAGTCTATGATCCTCCGTCTGTTAGTCCCACCCTCCCGCGCTGCGCTCGCAGAGTCCACACGGATGGGGGCGGTGACCGCCTCAGTTGCCCCGGGTCTTGTGGGTGGAGCTTGGCCACAGCTCTCAGCCCAGCCATGAACCGCTGCCACCGCAGGTGCCGGAGCCCGTTGGGGCAGGCAGCGCGATCCCTTTACCAGCTGGTGACTGGGTCTCTGTCTCCAGGTATGAGGAAGGAAAGGGAGGGGCAGAATCCCTCAAAATGAGTGAAGTGGGATAGGAGCCTTTCAGTGTTAGGGAGAAGGGCCCCTCACAGAAATGGAGTGAATGAGCAGGAGTCCTCAATAAAAGGGTTAACAGGTAAGCTCCCTGACAGAAGTGGGGCAAGGAATAGGATCTCTTACACAGCAGAAGGAAAAGATAAACTCTTGAGCATCAGGTCTCTTCTCACTGTGGTGGAGGGGGCAGGGCTTCTCATTGATGAGGGGGTTTAAGTAAAAGGCAGGGCACAAAGATCAAAGAAGGGAAGCTTGCGACCGAGCTGTGAAAAGGTGCAGCCCTTTAGTGCATTGCTTAGGTTGGGGGAGGGGGACGACTCTTTAAATGATGGATCGGTATCCAGAAGAAAGAAACCCTGAGATGAGACTAAAGCAGCATGAATTCTGCTAGGGAGTTCATGCATGACAGGATGGATAGACTTGTGTGGCATAAGGATTGTCTGTCACTGTTTTGTCTATTTCTAGGGGTCTGTGCTAAGGGCATTGTGCATTACTAAGTTGTGCATTAATGAGGCTGTTTATCCCTGTGGCTGTGAACACTGGGACTGTGCATCCTGGGGTTGCACAACCCTGGGATTACCTGACATGACAGGTTCTATGCTCTAGGGTTGGGTTGGGGGTTCCTGAATCACTAAATTACTTGTATAACCTTTAGGAAGTTATACCTTGGTGTGAAATCTGTGGAACTTATGATGTGCAGATTATGGGTTTCATATGGCACTGCTTAGATTTGTGCAAACTTCCACTGGTTCTTTGGAGCTGCCTGGTCAGGGTCCAGAGCACCTCCCCACTTGGCCTCAAGGAGATCAAAACAGCCTGGTCTTTTGGCATTCATTCCACAATCTGTAGTTCTCTGGTGCTCTCCATGTGGTTCCCCTTGAGCCCCTGGAGGGCCTGTGGCCACTCCTTGCCTTGTATCCCCAGAAGGAGGAGAGATGGGGTTGAGCCAGAACCATGCTTGGAGGTCTCGTGGGAAACATGTGTCCCCCAAACCCATACTTGGGCTTGTCTCCAGTGACAGATGGCTGGAGTCAGGCAAGGCCAGCTCTCAATCATTGCAGGCATGACTTCCAGGACCCAAAATAGCCCCAGTGCCTAGGGAGGTCATTAATCACCCAATGCAGCTGGGGGCTGCAGTGTCTTTAGCTTAGCTGGGGATGGAATGGGTCTGGGGGACTTTGGAGTCTTCACTGATGGGTTAACAGTGGGGGAACAAGTAGCATAGGGTGGGTTCCTCCACAGACAGTATTATTCTAGGTTTGAACTGTGGGTGGGAAAGGATTAATTGATAGCAGTATCTTTGTGATAAGGTTGAGAAAATCTGGGAAGGGCTAACCTAATGCCCTAACATTTTGCCTGGAGTTGTCACTCTGCCTGAAGTGCTTTCATTAAGATTTCACTCCCGGATCTGGGAATTAGTCTCACTGATAGAACACTTGCCTAGTATGTGCAAGGCCCTCAGTTTGATCCGCAGCATACCCAAAAAAAAAAAAAAATCACTCCTTTGGGTGAAGAGCTACATAGGACAAGGACAAGGAAGTCAAATCTAAGTAAGTGTCATAGAGTTCTAAGACTTGAGAAGTCTCTGAGTGGGGAGAAAGGAGAGGCTGAAAAACAACTTGCTCTCTCACTTCTGATAGCCCTGTCCACCCAATGCCTTTTTTTTGCGGGGGAGACGGGAGATATTGGGGTTTGAAATCAGAGCTTTATGCTTGCTAGGCAAGTGTTCTACCACTTGAGCCATACCACCAGCCCCCAAGGCCTTCTAGATTTAAGATCAAGAGTTCTTGTGAGGCTGGGTTAAGGTCTCTGAGAGTTAAGCGTGGGACTGAGAGAGAAAAAGGAAGGTCCAGGGACAGGACAACTGGCTGCAGGTTTGTAAATCTGTCCATATGTGAATCAGCAGGAAGGTGTTATTAGTTTTTGTTTTTGTTTTTTCATCAGAATTATGCTACCTCTTTCCATCTAAATAGTCTTACCTGACATTCAAGGCTTCATGGAATCTGATCCTTTTCTATTTTTTTTTAAATCACCCTTAGCTCCCTCAATATAAACTGAGCTATTGTCACCAGGACTTCTTGACACCCCACACCAGTTGGAGAGTTAGCCTGAGAGATCTGACAGATTACTGGCTCTGGTCAGAATCATTCTTTATCATTATATCAACTATTATGTTTGGAAAACTCACTCAATGAACCTCAATTCATTCATCTGCAAAATGGATATACTCACTTGGACCATGTGAGCTGGTCCTGATAAAAACAGGAATAATAAATCCTACCTCTCAAGCTTATTATGAGGACTAACTTACATAATACATATTAGGTATCCAAGATACAAGGTGCTGATCCTTTTGTTAAGATGGGCCATTGGCATTTTAGCCTTCTTTTTTTTCTTTTTTGTGTGGTACTGGGACTTGAACTCAGGGCCTTCACCTTGAGCCACTCCACCAGCCCTATTTTTTTTTGTATGAAGCGTTTTTCTGAGATAGGGTCTGGAGAACTATTTTCCCGGGCTGGCTTTGAACTGCCATCCTCCTGATCTATGCTAGGATTACAGATGTGAGCCACCAGCACCCAGCTCATTTTTGCCATCTTTTAAGAACCAACTCACGAAATGGAGGCAAGAGGATCGTTAGTTTGAGGCCAGCCTAAGCTACATTTCAAGGCCCAACTGAACTATGTAGTGAGACCCTGTCTCAAAAAGGTAAGGGGATATAGCTCAATGATAGATGAATTGCCCAGCACTCATAACATCCAGGTTTGATCCCCAACACCAGAAATACAGCTCAAAAGAAAAGATGTGCCAGGCACCAGTGACTCACATCTGTAATTCTAGCTATTTGGAGACTGAGATCTGGAGGACCATGAGTAAAGGCCAGTCCAGGCAAATAGTTCGCAAAACCCCCATCTCCAAAATAACCAGAGCAAAATGGACTGGAGGCATGGTGCAAGTGGTAGAGTGCCTGCTTTGAAGCATGAAGCTCTGAGTTCACCCAGGTCCATGAAGAAAGAAAAAAAAAAAAAGATAAGATAAGATACCCTAAGTTTTCCCTGGCTTCCCAATTAGAAAACTTTTACTATAACTTATTTAATGACCTGCTGAGAATGGTGCCTATCACACTGGAGGCATGCAACAAATATTTTTTGAATGAATAGATGCCTATGTTCTCTCAGTGGGGATGTCTCTCCCCACCTAGTGAGAGCTAGAACTATGTTTGGTTCACCTTTATTCCATAGATATCCACCTGGCACTAAATTTGTCCAATTTTTTAAACATCTTTGCCCTCTAGGGGCTTGGAATCTAGTTGAAGAAACAGTACCAATTCAGAAAGAACTAGGTTCAAATCTCTACATTATCACTTTTTACTTGGGTGACCTTGAACAAGTCTCTTTATATCTCTGGGCTTTGTTTACCTCACCAGTGAAAGGTACATAATACTATTCACTGCCTACCACATGGGGTTGTCATCAGAATCCATCAAGATAATGTTTGTGGCAACACTTTGTGAACTATCAATAGCTATAGAATTATGGAGGGGGTATGTTATTAATAAAGTTAACATTTACTCAGCAATTGCTCTGTGCTAAGCATTATTCCAACAATGTTCTATGTATTAATTCAGTTATACCAGCTAGAAACCTTATGGAGTAGAAAATTGAGGCACATAGAAGCTAAGAACTCACCCAGTTAATTACAAGTTGCAAAGCTGAGATTTGAACCCAAGGAGTCTGGCACCTAAACCCACAAAACTATCTCTCATGCTATACCACCTCTGTTTACTGTTCCCATTAGTAATATTACAAAGTTAGATATTGAGTTTTGAGGGCTCAAAAAGGAATTTGGTAGGAATTCAGGTAACTGATAGACCTCTGAGGACTGGAGGCTCCAAAGGGAAGAGAATTTATGCTGACTCTAAAGGATAGGTAGGAACTGTAAGACAGAGAAAATGCAGAAGAGAGGACATCCAGATGGAAAGGTTAGAGCAAGAGCAAAGGCACAGAGATAAGACTGAGTTTGGTGTGTTTTGGGGCACCGTGAATTGGCCAAACTGGCTGAGACAAAGGGATCTGTTGATGAAGGAGAGGAAGTTGAATTTGGACAGTTATAGGGAGATTTTTGCTGATTTCACCTGTAAATCAGTAATTTCTAAGGTGTGAGAAACTGAAAGAATGAAAACAACTTTTGGTTACTTTTTTGGTGGTACTGGGGTTTGAACTCTGTCTCACACTTGCTAGGCAGGTACTCAAGCCACTCTGCCAGCCCTGTTTTGTGTTGGGTATTTTCAAGATAGGGTCTTTGGAACTATTTCCCTGGGCAGCCTTCAAACCATGATCCCTCTGATCTCTGCCTTCTGAGTAGCTAGGATTGCAGGCGTGAGCCACCGGCGCCAGACTTTGAAAGCAACTTCTAAATTGACTCCCCTTTTGCCGCCACCACAGAGTAGGTGGGTAATTAGAGGACTAAGCCTGCAGAGGACATACCCTTGCTCTGACACCTTCCCAGAGGGTTAGGGAGTTGGGAAAGACGAAAGAGTATAAGATGTGGTGTAAGGTGGACAGCTGACCTCCAGTGGTGGCCATGCAGAACTGCAGATCAGTCATCCTGGATAGATAAGGAATGATCCCCATCCCACAGTTGAGGCTGTGACACACTCATCTGAGAGCTACACAAGAGGAAGGGCTCCAGTTTGGGTCAGTACTCCTAAACTGAGTCTCCTGGGAGGACAAACTTTCTAAATAAGGGAGCCAGTGTAGTGTGGTGCTTTAGAGTAAAGGGCTCAGAGTCAGACTGGGTTAAAATTAAGGCTGGAATCTAGATTTGTTCAACCTGTCTTTGACTGAGCTTCACCACCTATTATATGGGGAGATAACAGTAGATTTATTGTGAATTCTTAGTGTGATAACATCTGTAAAGCATACAGCACACCATCTAGTAAATAATGAATGCTCAATCACTGTTAAGCCAGCCACGGTAGTAATGGTAAGCATTATTAACTCAGAAGTCTTTGTCTAGTGACTTACTGGCTCTGCACATGTGCATTTCCCACCCCTGTACACATACACACATGCATTTCCCCCACCACCACCACTGCCACCATGAAGGAGCAGGAAAAAGGAGGGACTGCAGGAATGCCCAGGGGAGGAGGACTGCCATGAAGGATTCAGATTTCCTTCCTACCCTGGGTTTCTCCATCAACATACCAGTACCCAGGAAGCAGGCTGAACTTTAGTGTCTCCTAGATGAAGTCCCAGCCAGAAGGTGAGGAAAAGTATAATCCCCCTTACCTTTCCCCAAAGAGCTATGTCTCTTTGTCACAAAAGTCCCCTCCCTGGAGGGCCATGAAAAGGGGAAGCCTTCATCTGCCCAGGCTAGTGGACTAATCCTTTCTCCCTCAGGCCTCAGTTTCACTGTCTGTGGCCTGTGGGAAGAGAGTGCTTCCTGCCTCACACTCTCCATGGCAACCGTGACCGATGTTGGCAGTGTCCTCCTCACAGAAGAGGTAACTGCCTCTCTCTACCCCCTTGTAGTCTCATACAATTCCGTGTCAATACAATTATACAACCATGTACCCATTCTCCCAATTACACAACACATCTATGTCCTACCAAACTAGACCCACATTCCGTAACCCACAGCCCTACTAAAACACACATCTCACCCCCATGTACACTCAGAAATACTCCCTCACATTCACATGTATACCACAGACACCATGACCTGTGCCAACCATACAAGAAATACATACCTTTGTGACACACTCCTTTGCACAATCACAAGTAAATATACACAGACACACATAAGAGGGGACATACACACTCCCATACTGACAAAACTAGGAATATATACTCGGGAGAACACCCAAATGCTTATAACAAATTCGAGCCATACTTCTATTACTTACCTATGTGCCGATCATATTTTCTCATACACTTGCATCCTTCTTTGCCTTCTAAGTACAGCTCCTCCCTCTGTCCCTTCCCAGTGGCACGAGTGGCCGTGGGGTGGAGCATCTGGGGGAAGTTCTCCTTAGGGACAGAGGTAGGTGGCGGCCTCCCTCCTCTGATCCATCTTCTTCACACCAAAGGTTCCTGAGGAGGTGCCCATCCAAAGGCTGAGATGGCCCCATGAAGAGGAAGAGGCAGTGGCTGTGGCTGTGAGGCTTGTGGGGCAGAGGTGGGAGGAGAAGGGAGGGAGGAGACCCAGGGCGGGAGACAGGGAGAGAGACTGCAGGGCGGTCCTACTCGGGCAGGGGAGCCTAAGGGGGAGGTAGTGTGAGTTGGCCAGCCTGGCTGGTGTGTCTGAGCCTGAGCCTGGTGGGGGCCATGCCCCAGACCCATCATGAACCTGGAAGGGCTGGAGATGGTAGCTGTGCTGGTGGTCCTCGCTCTGTTTGTCAAGGTCCTGGAACAGTTTGGCCTCTTTGAGCCCGTCTCCTTAGAAGGTAACCCAAGTGTCTGGGCATGTCTAAGTTGCTGACTGGAGGGTCAGCACCCTGTGGTGTTTGGGAGGGAGTTGTACCATCTTCATGACTGAGACAAGGGTGAGAGGTGAGTGAAGGAGGTGAGAAGCCGGTACCCTGGGGAACAGGATCTGAGGGAGATAAAAGGGGTCTCTCTGGGGGAGGGGGACAGGATGTCTAGTGAGAGGACTGGGGTGTGGAAATGAAGAGGCAGGGAGGGGAGGAGGGATATGGGGGGGCGTCTGGAGACAGGCAAAGTGGTGTTTGTAGTAAAGGATTGAGGTTCCAAGGATCCTGAGAGAACTTCAGGATAATCTCCTTTGGAGCCAGAGTTCCAGGGAGGCTCTGAAGATGTGCAGGTGTATGCTGCAGGGTATGTGTGGACTCAGGGTGTTAGACATGGGATGTCACTGTGTGTCATGTGTGTGAGAGAGGACAAAGTTGTGTGACTATGTAAGTCTCTATATATGACAGGTGATATGTTATTGCATGCGTCAGAGTGACAGGGCATGTGACTTTGTGAGATGGTGTATCTGACCATGCCCAAGCTGGACCAGGTATGTGGCTAAGCCTCTTTGGGTATTGGGTTGAGTGTGTTCCCAGAGCTCCCTGAGAATATACACAAGACTTGGGATAGGAATGGGTTCTGGAGGCTCAGGAGTAAGATCATTGTGAATGAGAGATGGATAGCTCTGGCTGGGGGTGAGGAGTGGGTCAGATCTGAAACTCTACTTCCCAACCCCCCTTTCCTGTCCAAGCTCCTCTCAGGCAAGGACAGAATGATCTCCAGGGCTTCAACGTTGGGAGCAAGAATTCAATTTCTAATCTCAACCCAAAGTCAGTAGGAAAAATGAATTGGAAATGCAGAGGGAACAGTTCTGCCCCACCTGCCCAGACTTTTGATCTGTCCTTCTTCTTCACAACAAGAACTGTGCAGCCTCATGGTATATGTTCCCCAGTTGTACCAGAGATGGGCAAGACAGACAAGAACCATGACAGTGTGGGGTGGGATAGATTACTGAGAGAACTGGAAAGATGTCAAAGCTGGGGCCAGGAGGAAGATCCATGAATTGCCTGTTCTAGAGTTCAGGAAGTGCACCCTCCATCCTCTGCTGCAGTTATAGGGGTGGGAACCAGGAAGTTATACCTAGATGAACCAGGGAGTCTGGAAAAGATGAAGTCAGGGAACTTGCTGTCCCCATTAGACTGTCTGATGGGAAGAGGGGCTGTCTAGGAAACCCCAGCATCCTGAAGGCTGAAGGCAGCCCCTTTCTTCCCAGAGGCTAAAGCTTGAGAGCAAGCAGGGGTCAGTGAGGAGGGGTGGCAGAGAAGGTGGGAGGTGGCTCTTCCCCCCCCCCACCACTTGGGTGGCTATATCATCAGAGGCCCCAGGCACAATCCGCCTTCTGGAAACCAGAGTCCAGGCTAATGGAGCCCTGGGCCAGGGGCCAGGCCGCCATCGATCCTGCCTGGCCTACTGCCTCCCTCCCACCTCTCCATAGCTCCTGGGGTGGGGTGGGATGGAAGGAGAGGAAGGTTAGAGGAGAGGAGGCAGTAACCTCATAGGGTTTGCTCCTGGGAGCAAGGCCTGGTCTGGAGGTGGAGCCTGGCTTGGGAGGGCTATAGGGGGTGGGGAGCTAGGATGGAGGAGTAACTTATAATTAAAGGAAGTTGGGCCTCTCTAGAAATAGACTGAAATCAACCTTAGTCAGTGTGTCAGATCCAGTGGGTTCTGGCCTAGGAATCTGGAGGTGAATACAGCTGGGAGACATATAAATATAGAATAATGCTAAGGATCCCCCTGGGGTATTAAAGATCTAAAGGACACATGCAGAATAAGAAGAGGAGAGGGAAGAGGAGCCATGACCAGTGGGCTTTGGATAGCCCCACAGTATACCAAAATACTCATCTTCAAGATCTGTTACTGCCTCAGAGTTCTCTGTTTCACCTTCAAAGAACATACCGAAAAGGACTGGAAAGGACAACAATTTCAGCATAGATGAGTTAGCTGATGAGAAACCCTTCCCTTTTGTAGGAAGATTTGGGTGCTTTGGAATTGGGGATTATGGGAAAGAAAAGCGGGTATACCCTCTGTGAGTGAGAAGTAACTTAAGGTGTCTGGGTGCCAAGGGGACTGAGGCCAAAATATTATATAGGTGTATCATGGTAACTTTAATATGTGTGATGGTGTCCTTAGCACACAGTTTTATGATGTTCCAGGGTCCTTGTGTGGTTTTATCATGCTTTGTGTGAGATCATGTATATTGGTCTCCATATATATGTTTTATGTAGTTCACATTTGTGTGTTTTAGGAATATTAGGTAAAAATGTGTGTGTTTGTGTGTGTGTTAAAATATACTTATTTGGCCACCAAGTGTGAGTTACAGGTTGCCTTTACCAGCACATCTCTGTGATTATAATTTTATGTTGTCAGCATACATGCCTGTGTGTCTGTATGTGTGTGTGTGTGAGGGGGGAAGTGGAGGTGTTCCTACCCAGGCATTCCTTAGGTTGGACATCTCCCTTGTGGGATCTGCCATGGTATATAAGTCAAGGGCATTGGGTTAGCAAAGACACTGAGGCCACCGCAGCCTCCCCTTTGCCACCTCGCTGTCGCTGGCCAGTCCCATTATACAGTGTCCAAGCCCCGCCTGTGTAGACTTTCGTTGCCTGTAGATCCAATAGGTTTCCCTAACCTGACTTCAACTATTCTCTCTTGTCCTCCCCACTACCCTCCATCCCCGCCCAATTTCTCTCCTAGCCCCGCCCCAGCCAGGATTGATTTGTAACTGGCGGGGAGGGGACATGGAAGGGAGGAACTGTGGGAGTTAATGTGCCTTCCTGGGGTCTTCTCTCTTCCCAGGCCATCCTCCAGGGCCCACTAAAAAAGCGCTGAAGCAGCGGTTCCTCAAGCTGCTGCCGTGCTGCGGGCCCCAAGCCCTGCCCTCAGTCAGTGAAAGCAAGTGCCTCTCCTGTGCTTCTGGGGGCGGGGCGAGAGAGAGAAAGAGAGGGGAGAGAGAGAGAGAGAGAGAGAGAGAGAGAGAGAGAGAGAGAGAGAGAGACAAGAGAGAGAGAGAGAGAGAGAGAGAGAGAGACAGAAAGAGAGAGAGAGAGAGAGAGAGAGAAAGAGAGAGAGAGAGAGTGAGAAACCCGTGTGACCGGGCGGGCGGGCGCTGGCTGGCCAAGAGCGAGGGACGTGGCTACTTACATGGGTAGAGCCTTTTGTATGGGCGGGTCCCGAGCCGTGGGCATCACTGGTCTGCGAAACTGCAGAATGCCGGTGTCTGGGAGCGGCTACTGTAGCCCGCCAGAGGCCAGAGCCTAGGTGGGCAAGGCCAAGTGTGACGGGAGCGGGGTCAGGCTGTAAGAGTCTGTGTGTAGCTTAGCTGGCTCTGCCACTGCAGATACCCGACAGGATGGTAGCCCGCCTTCCTCCAGACGCCAGGATATTTACGTTGTCTACCCCAGCCTGGTCCCCAACGAAAATGTCCTCGATTTGAGTGAACCCCCTTTGCCTTTAAAAGTCCGTTTCCTCACTTGGGCCTCGCCCACTTCTTAGAATCATACTGAAATTTGCAAGCTATAAAGCTCTATTTTGTAGTTATTTGAGCATGTCGTTGTGTTTGATTCCGATGGATCGTACGCGGGGATAGATTTGGGAAAAAGGGGCTTGAGTGTATGTGGGGTCCATGTTGTGTATGTCTGTACTGGTTACTTGTGCTTTTGCTGGGCTGGGGTGTGTGGATTGAAACATGCAGGTCTGCAAGTTTTGCTGTGAATGTGAGGGTCAAGGGGAGTGTCTGCAGTTGGCCGGGTCTTCCGCTTTCTCGGTGACAGTTCGCTCCCTTCAGCATTAGCAGCCCCAGCCTCCCTCCGCCCCCACAGACCCCGCCCGCTGGACCCAGGTGACTTACTCTCCTGGTGGGGCGGGTGTGGTGCCGGGGGCTTTGGGAACGCGGGTTGGGGGCACTTGCCTGGGGACTGGACATTGGAAACTGGGCAGGACTGAGGTGGGGAGGGCCAGGGGTGGAGCGAGGATTGGGGTCTAGATAGAGGTTGGCTGGGGCTGGGCGGAGCATGGCTCTGGCATGGCTAGAGTGGGCGGGGCTTGCCTGAGGTAGGAGGACCTGGACCAGCGAGGTGGGGCTGGGCGGATCTGAGTTACTCTAGAAAGGCCTGGGGGGCCAACCTTCAAATGCCAGCTCTCGAGTTTGCTTTGCCCAATCCTCCCTTTCTGGGAAGATGCAGCTGGGGGCCTTCCCCTCCAACCAGTGACCAAAGACCCAGGGGTGAGCGCAGTTTCCGGACCTCTGGTTCTGGGGCTCATAGACCTCGAAGGAGACCAGCATCTTCTCTCCTTGCCTGGATGTCCTCTGCTTGGGGTCCAGTGAACTATCAGGCTGGTCTCCAGCGTGGAACATGGGACAGGGAGGAGGGTGTATGGGTGGGTGATTTTGAAGAGTGGTCGGGGGGAACTGGGCCTGAGGCGGGGCCTGTCCCTCCACCACTTCTTTCAGACAGCGTGGAGGATGAGTTTGAACTTTCCACTGTGTGTCACCGGCCGGAGGGCCTGGAGCAGCTGCAGGAGCAAACCAAGTTCACACGCAAGGAGTTGCAAGTCCTGTACCGTGGCTTTAAGAATGTGAGTGGAAGGCGACGTCCAACTGGGCAAGGGGTGAAGCAGAAAAGACCTAGCCCATCTGTGACTTTCCAGAAAATATGGCCTGCTTTGAGTAGTGCAGCCAAAGGAAGACAGGATTGGAGACGGAACTCCTAAGCTTTGAGTAGTGCAGCCAAAGGAAGACAGGGTTGGAGACGGAACTCCTAAGCCTGAGTTTCAGGGTCAAACCTGTAGACTGCCAGTTTACTTCCATGTTTTTAATTTATGCAGAGCTGCGTGATGAGTCAGTCCCCAGAAGCATGACAAGTTTTTCCTCTCTTAGTCTTGAGCCAAGGAGAGTGGGGGAGGGGTGGTGATAAAAAAGCAGGATTTTTCTTTGTCCTCATTCTGGTCCTCCTCTCTCAGGAATGTCCCAGTGGAATTGTCAATGAGGAGAACTTCAAGCAGATTTACTCTCAGTTCTTTCCTCAAGGAGGTGAGGGGACAAGGCCCAAGGGGCAGCAGCTGAATGGGGGAGAAGGTTCTGAAGGGCTGGGAATGCCAAGGTGATGAGATGGGAATGGAAAGTTATTCTTCTCCTGTCTGAAATCCAAGCTTACTTCCCACATTCATTCTACAGACTCCAGCACCTATGCTACTTTTCTTTTCAATGCCTTTGATACTAACCATGATGGCTCTGTCAGTTTTGAGGTGAGCTGGGGGAGGTGGGCCCAAGGGAAGCCTATTTCCTGGGGCTTCAGATCCAGGATCTGCTGGCCAAACCCAAACAAAGGCTTTGTGAAGACACAGCTCCCCTTTTCTCCTTATCTCCTTATCTCCTTCCCAGGACTTTGTGGCTGGTTTGTCAGTGATTCTTCGTGGAACCATAGATGACAGGCTGAATTGGGCCTTCAACCTGTATGACCTCAACAAGGACGGCTGTATCACCAAGGAGGTGCAGGGCAACTGAAGGGCTGGGGGTTTATATGTGGGGATGGTGGTAGTGGTGGTGGTGGTGGTGATGATGGTGCGAAGGGATATGGCAAAGAAGCACCTAAATATGTATCACCAGCAAGGAGTGAGGTCTACCCTAGGCCTTAGGTTTCTTGATTTGGAGGCTGGAGACTCTGAGGAGGCATCTTCTCTTTTGGCCTAACAGGAAATGCTTGACATCATGAAGTCCATCTATGACATGATGGGCAAGTACACATACCCTGCCCTCCGTGAGGAGGCCCCAAGGGAACATGTGGAGACCTTCTTTCAGGTACCTGGGACTTGGTAGGCTGGAGGGCCCTGGAATGAAAGGAAGGAGACCAGAAACCAATAAGGAACTTACATGAGTTCTATCTATCACTCTCCCCCTGTCCCTCTTGTTTTCCCTGCCTGACTACCTTCTTGCAGAAGATGGACAGAAATAAGGATGGCGTGGTGACCATTGAAGAATTCATTGAGTCTTGTCAAAAGGTACAGGCCCTCCTCTCTACATTTCCCTGGTCTGGACTCCAGGCCTGAATCAGTGATGTAGGAAAAGTCTCCTCTCTACCTCACCCCCATCCCCCAAAGTTGTTCCTTTGTGACCAGGGGAGGCTTACCCCTTCCCCATCTGGGTGTCTCCTTTCTCCTTGCCGCTGAAGGTCTCCTTTTTCTCCATCTCCAATTAAATGTCCTCCTTCCCATATCTGACAACCTTTTTTTTTTTTTTTTTTTCCTTTTCTCTTTCTCTCCAATCTGCCTCCCTCACACCATGGCCACAGGACGAGAACATCATGAGGTCCATGCAACTCTTTGACAATGTCATCTAGCTCCCCAGGAGAGGGGGATCAGTGTGTCCTGGGGGGGCACCATGCTCTAGTCCTAGTCCAGGCAGACCTCACCCTTCTCTTCCCAGGTCTGTCCTCATCCTAGCTGTACCCTGGGAGCGATAGGGATGCAAGAGACTGGGGCTTCAGTAGTTCAGACCCTTGGAGCTGAAGGGGCCAGAGAGTGAGCAAAGTGCATCTGGTGGGTGTTCCCAATTCTCAACAGCTTTTACCCACTTCCTGCCTGACACCCAGTGCTGAGGGTGCCCCTGCTGTAGGGATTGAGTGGTTTCCCAACTCCTATCCCTACTTTAGAAACCACGACACTAGACAGAATGTCTCCTGCTATGGTGCTTCCCCATCCCTCAGCTCATAAACATTTTCCTAAGACTCCCTTCTCAGAGAGGATGCTCTGTCCTTGGCACTGGTTGACTTTTCAGACTAACCAGCCTTTTGAGAGCCCCCTGAGAAAGGAAATAAAATATTGGGCCTGGGCCAATTAGATTCTAGCAGTTGGTTAAGAGTAAAGAACAGAATTCTGGGCAGAGTATGAGACCAGGTCTGTTACCCCAGGTCATCAGAATATGTTTCCAAACTTTTCAGAAGGACTTACATCCTTAGGAACATCCTGGAAATTTACTATATCCTTCTCAGTGTCCTAGGGGAGCCTGGGATCCAGATATCTAGCTCATTCCTGGAATTCCTTCCTCTCCCTCCTTCCTGTGGTGGCAGAGGATGATGGGTAGGAAATGTCCTGGCTGATGCCCACAAAGTTTCAGCCTGCCCCCTGCTCATCACTTATTTTGATGGCTATGACTAGAGTTTTCATTTGCCATTTCCTTTAGATTTGGAGGCATGGAGTGAGTCAGGGATTTTCCTGAACTTGGGTCCTTAGCACGCCTCCTAGTGGATGCCTCAGGGAGAGAGGTAAGGAGGAAGGAAGGCATAGCACCTCTGAACCCAATGTGGGGCACTCATTATAATCTTTGATCAACCCAGGCTCTACCCAGCTCTCCACATAGCCTCTTCTTCCTCCATTCAGTATACCCAGAGATGCCCCCTGAGCACACCAAGAGGCAGGGACCATTGGACCCACCTCATTGTCAGCACCCCTGCCATGCTGCTACTCCTTAATATACTTGCTTGTCCTGTTCAGCTCACCTCCCAGTCAGCTAGAATCTGAGGGGAAGGATCCCCAGGGAGACTTCTGCCCCATCAGATACTGTTGACTGCTTTGCATTTTGGATTTTTCTGTATATTTTGTAAAATAAGAAATATACCAGATCCAATAAAACACAATGGCTATGCATAGGCTGCTGTTTTGCATTTTTGTCCTTCCCACCCACAAATAGCTATACATCCCTGAACTCACATGCCTTCAGCATTTTAGACCTCCAAGTAGTGCCTGTATTGGGTTGGGGGGCATGATTCAAGTGGTAGAGTGCTTGCCTAGTAAACTCAAGGCCCTGAGTTCAAATCCCAGTACCACTTAAAAAAATAGAAAAGAAAAAAAAAAACAACTGCCTGTCTTTTCAAATCTGGCCATGCCTTGGCAGGAGACCAAGGTTTTAGAATTATTGAAAACCCATCTGGTAAGGAAGGGGGCGGGGGGGGAAGGGGGGAGAAATGACCCAAATATTGTATGCACATATGAATAAAAAAAAGACCCCCCCCAAAAAAAAGAAAACCCATCTGACCTCATCAGACCCCTCCACACACGTAAGTCTACTTCCCACATCCTGAGAGAAGACAAGGAAGGATAGATTGTGGATATCCCAAAGACTATGTATGCCAAACAAGCTGGGTTTTTTTTTTTTTTTTTGCCATAAAATATGGGGTTTTTTTGGGGGGGGGAGAGTGGCCCAAATAATGTATACACATGTAAGTAAATGTAAAAATGATAAAATTATATATATATATATATACACACACATACATATGAAGGAAAGCAATAAAATAAATAGAAAAAAATATGGATGTTTTATTACAGTGCTGGGAAATGAAAAACCAAAAACAAAACCCAGCCAGGCACCAGTTTCTCATGCCTATAATCATAACTACTCAGAAGGCAGAGATCAGGAGGATCGCAGTTGGAAGCCAGCCCGGGAAAATATTTCGTGAGACCCTATCTCAAAAAACCCTTCACAAAAATAGGGCTGGTGAAGGGGCTCAAGGTGAAGGCCCTGAGTTCAAGTCTCAGTACCTCAAAACAAAAACAAAAACAGAACACATCCTTCCATGCACCATTCTATTATAAATAACATTAATTTGGAAAACTGGAGATGCATATGTATAAATATGTACAATATGTATATATATATACATACATACACCAACTTTCAGATTTTACTCTATTGGTGTTAATATCTTCACTATTTTTTAATAAATGTCCTTATAAATCATCAAATGGATCCTAATATTTCCACTTGTGTTGCCTTCAATCATTTAATATTGTTTGGACTGCATTCACAATTTTGTGTTTTAATCACTTATGTGATTGGTATATTTGAAGATGTCAGGGGAAAACCTTCAAGTTATACTCTACACCTCAGTTACCCATTACATGGGTTTTTTTTTTTTTTTTCCATCATTATTTTCAACTTCACACATCTTGCAGTTCTCTATGTGGTCTCTCTATATAGTTTATTTCAGCTTCTAGTGTTGTACATATCTATATCTTGGGGATGAGACTGTCTATGATCCATAAACTTGGGAACAGGCATAAACTGGGTAGCACCTCTGAAGATGATTCTTAGGTAGAGTCTGGGCCTGGGGTGGATTCTGATTTGGTGTTTGTTTCAGAGGTGAGTTCTGTTGGCAAAGGCACTGAATGTTTTAGGACATGAGTTGTTTTTACAGGTATTTCTATTTCATCAGAGCTTCCTAGATTTTTTTTTTGTACTGGGAATGATTTTTTTTCATTTTTGTCCATAATAATTTAATGACTTCATAAATTTGCTATTAGCACATGCCTTTTTCCCAGTTCCTTTTACAGTTTTCTGACTAAAGTGGGTAGCAAACAGTTGCCCTAACATGGTCAGTCCTAGTGAATAAGCAATTTTCTTAAACACAGAACCTTTTCTTACTGAAACCAAACTCATCATTTCTGAAACTGTAATCACTCCCATTTGGGGAAGAAAAAAATTTTTTTTCAGGACTGGGAATGAACTCAGAGCCTTGCCCTTGTGAGGCAAGCACCTGAGCCACCCCTTTAGTCCTGGGAAGAAAATCTTGAGGAGGATTCTTCAGACAGACATATGTGTCTTTTCCCAAATTGTACTGTATCCATTATCCTTTTATTTATTTTTTTTGCCTTCTTTTTTTTTGGCAGTACTGTGGTTTGAACTCAGGGCCTTACACTTGTTAGGCAGATACTTTGCCACTTACTCCTCCAGCCCTTTTTTTTCTTTGTATAAATTTTTTGTACTGGGGATGGAACCCAGAGCTTTGCATATGCTGCACCCCTAGTCTTTTGCTTTTATTCAGATAGGGTCTTACCATGTAGTCTAGACTGGCCTCAAACTCATATTCCTTCTGCATCTGCTTCCCCAAGTGCTGGGAGTGCACCCCCATGGCTGGCTTCCTTATCTCATCTTTCCAAAAGACAAAAACACCTTTGTATCAGGCCAGTATAATGAACAGTTGTAGTGTGGGGGAACACAAAGCCAGTTTGTAAATGACCAGGCTGTTCTTCAACATATTTAGCCTGGAGAGGTGGTATAGTGTATATGAGGACCTGCTGTCATAGAGCTGCTTTTGGATTCCCCTTCTTCAGCTACATGGACACTTATAGATAGAAGCATGTATCAGACCTGCAGGCATGGTTATCAGCTTTCCCATCCTAATGGCCACCATATCTGCAACCCTCTGGGCCCAAGTTTTCATATGCAGACAAGCTGTCTTTTGGCAGACATTCTTACATGTTAAATCTAGAGTTTCTCTTTTTTGGGGGAGGGGTTTGTTACTGGGGTTTTAACTCAGGGCCTTATGATTGCCAGGCAGGTGTTCTTCCACTTAAGCCACACTCCCAACCCTTTTGCTTTAGTTATTTTATTCTATTTATTTATTTTTGGAGGGACTGGGATTTGAACTCAGGGCTTTGTACTTGTAAAGCAGATGCTTTACCACTTGAGCCACACCTACAATCCATTTTACTCTGATTATTTTTGGAGATAGGGTCTCACAAACTATTTGCTTGGGCTGGCCTCAAACTGTGAACCTTCTCACCTCAGCCTCCCAAGTAGCTAGGATTAAAGGTGTGAGCCACTGGCACCCAGCTACTTATTTTATTTTATTAAATAAATAAATAATATATATATTTTTTGTGGTACTGGGGTTTGAACTCAGGGCCTCACACTTACTAGGCAGGAGGTTTACCACTTGAGCTATTCCACCAGCCCACTTATTTTATTTTTGAATTAGCATACATTATTAATATAAGGAGATTTCATTGTGATAATTTCATCCATGTGTGTAGTGTACCTTGAACATGCTCACCCCCTCCATTGTTTCCACTCCCTTCCACCTGCCTTAGTCATTTTTCTGGTAGGGTCTTATTTTGCCTGGGGATGGTCTTGAACAGAGATCCTCCTACTTATGCCTCTGATATAGCTGGGATCACAGGTATGTACCACCACATGTGGTTGAATCAAGAATTTCTAATTTACAGACTGTTAATCTCAAAGTGCTTTCTTTTGAGGGGCATTCCATTCAGTTTCTAGCTAAAGTGCCTCTGTGTAAACATCCCAATGTTGCCTCAGTGTACATATATACATTCGTGTCCATACCCCAGTCAGGAATAGTGGGATCAAATGGAGTGAACCTACGGTAGGTCACCACCAGGGAAGTGACACAAGGATGACAGAAATTTGCTAGTGTTCCCACTCTTTCTTTCGTATGTTCCTGGAGAGGTTCCTCCCAACCTTTCTCTGGTATACCATTATGTGCTGACTAAACTTCATCATCCAAAGGAAGGTCAGACCTTCTCCTCCCTCTCTGGATACATCCACAAGATCAAGGGAGGCTTATGGTTTCCAAAAGGCAAACACGAGTGGTGCTTCTTATGTGCACAGCCCTGGGTTCAATCCCTAACATACACAACCCCCTAAAAACAAAACAACAACAAAAAACCCACCTACATTTCAGTGTTCCTTGTTTTGTCAACTGTGTTTCTGGCTAATATCACCTTGGAACTCTTTGTTCCTCAGGTCCTTGAGTTTCTTTGGGTCATCAAATGAAAGAGTTAACTGACTATCCAAGGATGGCCCGGGAAGCAACATGCTCATGTTGGTTTTGGGTGCTCTGGATGGAACCCAGGCCCTTGTGCATGTTAGTGCATGCTACTCAAGTGCTCTACCGCTGAGCTACACCCTCAGCTAGCTCCCATGTATGTTTGTGTCCTTGAAGTCCACGTGTGGGTCATAACCTAAGAACCTGTTCTGTAGTCTACCCCTCAGCTTTCCCTTTTACAGGAGAGGATACAGGTTTAGAGAGGGAAAGGACTTGCTTAAGGTCACCCAGTGAATTTATAGCAGGGTGGAGACTAGACCCAGTCCCCCAACTCTCAAAGGCGGCCTTGGGTCACAGTAAGGATTTGTGTGTGAAGGGGTGGCACAGTGGCTCGAGTGGCAGAGCGCCTGCCCAGCAAGTGTGAGGCCCTGAGTTCAAACCCCAGCACTGCCAAAAAGAAAATTCATTTAATATTTGTGTATGAGCTGGGTGTAATGGCTAATGCCTGTAAGCCTAGCTACTCAGGAGGCAGAAATTAGGAGAATTGCAGTTTGAAGCCAGCCCTGGGAAAATAATTTGTAAGACCCTATCTTGTAAAACACCCATCACAAAAAAGTGTTGGCAGAGTGGCTCAAGCAGTAGAGCACGCCTACCTGTCAATCATGAGCCCCGAGTTCATGCCCCAGTTCTGCCAAAAAACATAAAGGATGGATGCTGTGCATGTCATGCACCATCTAAACAAGGAACACGGTTCAAGTGTTAGAATACTTGCCTAGCAAGCAGAAGGCCCTGAGTTCAAGTCCCAATACTGCAAAATAAATAAATACAAGTAAACAAGGTGACCCTGGACAGGCTGTCATGGAACTCTGTGCTAATCTCTTCATGGCATTTCTCGGTTTATAAATATGTATTTATTTGGAGAATTATTTGTTTATCTTCTCCATTACAGTGTAAGTTCTTTAGGGCTCCTCCAGTACCTGGACTAAGTTTTTTTTCCTCATCATTCTATCTCCAGGGGTCTGGCACATAACAGGCATTAGGCATTCAGTAAATGATTGTATTATTGAATGGATGACCATGGTGAGGGAATGGATGTAACCAGCTCAGGTTGGAAACAGATTCCATTCCTAGGATAGATCCAAGTATAGGGGAAACTGAAGTCTGAAACAGAATTGCTAGTTGGGCTGAAGTTGTGGCTAAAGCGGTAGAATACCTGCTTAGCAAGTGCAAAGCCCTAAGTTCAAACTCCAGTAATGTCAAAAACAAATAACACCCCCACCCAAATGCTAGTGAGGTGAGAAACGCCCTAGAGATGGGGTACATAGATGGGATCCAGAAAAAACGAGCAGGTTGCCATTCAGATCATTTTGCCCTGGCCATAGCTCTGATTCTAACCAATGTTGTCAGTAGCAACAAAACACTCTCCTTTCTAGCCTTCCAGTATTTCCTACTCTCCTGGTTTTCTTTCTACCTTTCTAGCCACACCTTCTCAGTCCTCCCTTGCAGACTCATCCTTCTTAACTTAGATTCTCAATCTTGAGCACCACAGCTCACTGTGGAGTCTTTTCTCCAAATCATATGCAATCCCATGGCTTTAAACACCATCTATGTACAGAGGCTCCTAAGTTTGTATCCCTAGAACTTTCCTTTGAGCTCCAACACAATTAACAATTGTGTTGTTAACAAATTAACAGATTTTAAACACAATAATTTGTTAACAAAATAAACACAATAAAAAATTGTGTGTTAACAAATTAACAAATAAACAATTGCCTATTTGACATCTTCATGGAGACCTATAGTGGTCAAACTTAACATGTTCAAATGGAGGTTAGATTCATGCTTTCCCAGTCTTCCCCATCTCAGTACATAACGCCAGCACCTACCTCCTTGCTGAGATTAAGACAGAACTTTTCAGATCTGGGGCTAAAACTCATGGCCCAAAGCATGCAAAACAGCATTCTCCCACTTAGCTACATTCCCAGCCCTTTAAAATTTAGGTGTCTTGGGCTGGTGGAGTGGCTCAAGGGGTAGAGCGCCTACCTAGCAAGCATGAGGCCCTGAGTTCAAACCCCAGTACTGCCAAAAATAAATAATTAATTTATAATAAAATTTATGAGTCTTCATTTCCAGAGGGATTCTAATTCAGCAGTACAGGATTTGCCTAACACACTTGAGGCCCTAGGTCCATACAGTACTACAAAAAAGTCTTCATTTCTTTTTTTTCTCTTCTTCACTTTCTCTGCCCTGTGTTCCATAGTTTTTGGGTTTTTTTGTTTTTTGTTTTTTCCTTTTTTAAACAGTGTTGCTATGTCCCAGGTCAGCCTGGGGCTCACTATCCTACTAAGCCTCCTGAGTGCTGGACTGGGATCAGGGAATGTGAACCGTCACATCCGGTTTCCAACCCACATTTAATTAGTCACCAGTTCCACCACCAATGCTCTTCCCTAGTCAAGCTACATTTATCCCTTACCTAGATTATTTGTCTATCTGAAGTAGTCCTTTTTTTTTGCATACTGGGGTCTGAACTTAGCCTTATGCTTGCTAGGCAAATGCTCTACCACTTCAACCTCACTCTCAGCCCTGAAGTAGCCCCTCCTTGCTGCAGTTACTATTACTAGGTTTCCTCCTTCATAGCACCTGTCACAAACTGAGTTCCTGTGTTTGTACTGAATTTGTTATTGTTTGTTTCTCCAATGAAAATGTAAACTCTCTAGGGGAAGGACCCTATGCCATTCATTTCACAAATATTTATCATGGGCCTACTAAGCACTGCTTCCTGTTGTAGGTGGAGGGCAGGGGCAGGGGCAGAGAACGTATGGTATGGGAAGAAAGTGTGTAGCAATTGTGTGGCAAGAACCACCTTCAAGTTTGAGAAGTACAGGTACAGAAGGTTGATCTTGCTTGGTCTACAGGTCTCAAGAGTCAGGACTGTGGGAGTAGATGAAATTGTGGCTGTTGACTTGCTACCAGTTGCCACAGTGTGAGATGGAGGCAAAAAGAAAAATATCATGAGACTGCCATTAGCTGGGATGACAGCCCTCAAATCCCTCAAGTGGCTGGGCGCTGGTGGCCAGGAGGCAGAGATCAGGATGATCGTGATTTGAAGCCAGCCACAGAAAATAGTTCTGAGACCCTATCTTGAAAAAACACATTCCAAAAAAGGGCTGGTGGCATGGCCCTGAGTTCAAACCCCAGCACTGAGAAAAAAAAAAAAAAAAACCCAAGTGACCACAATATCCAGAGAAACTGTTTGTGGCCCCTGTCATCACAGGAAGACCCCTTAGAGAACGCTTGCTATGTGCTTGCTTCAGTAGCACACACACTCTATTAAAATTGGAAGGATTACAGACTAGCATGGCCTCTGTGCAAGAATGGCATGTAAATTTGTGAAGTGTTCCATATTAAAACGGAAGGAAGGAAATTCTTAATTCTAACTCCCACCTCAACAATCCAGTACTAAAAAGTCCCTGGAGCTACAAATTGGGCTACCACTAGCAGAGTGGAATAGATTCAATGTAACACTGAATCATAAAATAGTACTGTCTTTGGGGGGGGGTTATCTCTCCCCCCCACCCCCCGCTTTCATGTAGAATCTGTTCTGCCCTTATCTCTAATTTTGTTGAAGAGAGAGTATAAACAATAGTACTAAGTCTTAATATTGAGATGTTTATTCCTCATAAATTGAGACATCTCTTAACCAACATAAATGTAGAATGCATTATGAAAGGACTACGGGGAGCTCTGAGAACACACACAGCAAGGAAATCTGAGCCCATCTAGGGAACAAGGAAGGCCTCCCCAGGAAATGTTTATAGTGAGGCTCAAGGATCTCACGCCCCTTACACTGCACACTTGCCATTCCCAAACAAGCCAGGCCTTTCACCCCTCTCTACCTTTGGACTGTTGTTTCCTTGCTTGGGGTGCTGCTGCCGTCCTTCTTCCCTATGTAGTCTGGCTAATCTCTCATCCTTTATAATCCAGCTCATGAAGCCATGCCATGGGGCTTCTCCCCAAAGGAGAAGTTATTACCTCCTCTGACCTCCCAAAACACCATTCAGGACTTTTGTATGTGCTTGCTTATCTCTCCCACTATATTATGAGTGGCCCCAGAGCCCAGGACGAGGCAAGTTCAATAGGTGTTTGAGGAATGAAATAATAATGAATTATTGCATTTTTAAATGGGGGTAGCTCCATGGGAGAGTAGGGGAAACTGATTCCAGGCAGAGGATTGAGCTGAGCTCTTTGGAATGGTGTGTTTACAGAACGGAGCCTGCATCAAGCAGATGTAATGAGCCAAACTATTGCAACAATGTCCAAATAAAATAGGTCAATTTCTTCCTATCCCTTTAAGAACTAAAGGCTTCATTTCTGCGCCTGCGCGTCAAGAGAGTAAACACCTCTCCTTTTCACCCTTTCCCCCCCTTCAACCCCCAATTGCCCCAACCCACCTCAGCCTCCTCCCATACTCCCCTTTTTCGGGTAGGGTAATGGTTCGTCCCAGGGTGCCAGGCTCACTCTGGAGGGTAGAAAGTACAAATGGTACATTCCACTGCCTTCGTTAGCTCCGTCTTTTCATGGCTTCTTTGTTTTATTTCCCCCTATCGAATGAAGCGTAATAGCCTGGTCCCGAAGAAGGAGGGGGAACCGGGCTAAGGACCGGTCTGAGCCAGTCTGCGGCGCAGGCGCAGTGCGGATAAACAGGAAGCGGGCGGTAGCGGCAGCGGCTAGAGAGCCTTAGGGGCTTCGGAGAGGATAAAGCGGAAGAACTAAGATTATTTGGATGGTAACAGACGCCAACTGAGACCGAGAAAAGGAGCCTTGGCCTTAGCTTCCTGCGAGTGATTGCGGCTTCGTTTTCCGCTGAGGCTTCCTTTTCCCCAGTTTAGGCTGAAGCGGCGGCTGACAAAGGGCTTGAGCCGGTGCCGCCGCCCTTCTCATCCGGGCATTCGGGCCCCTGCGGAGGGGGAGGGGGAAGGGCTGAGGGGGAGGGGAAGAAGCCCGAGGGGCGCGCGCTTGGAGCCGAGGCCCTCTCCAGGGCTCCGGGCCTGTGGCCCAACCGACGGAGGCCGAAGAGGACCCGCAGAGGTGGCGGCGGCCGGTGGCAGGAGGATGGTGCAGAAGGAGAGCCAGGCAGCGCTGGAGGAGCGGGAGAGCGAGCTGAGCTCCAACCCTGCCGCCGCCTCGGGGGCATCGTTGGAGCCGCCGGCTGCCGCGGCCCCAGGAGAAGACAACCCAAGCGGAGCTGGGGGAGCGGCCGTGGCGGGGGCGGAAGGAGGGGCCCGAAGGTTCCTGTGTGGCGTGGTGGAAGGTGAGCCCTCCTGTTGTCGCCGTCCCCCCACCCCCGCCCCAGTCGTAACACCTCTTGGGAGGGGCGGGGGGGGGGTAGGATGGTGGAGGTTCTTCCGGGGGCGCCAAAAGGCTGTTCCCCCTTGGTTCTGAAATTTGGCCCTGCTGAAATGAGGGGGAGGAGACTCAGTGGGCGCATTTCCGCTCCCCAAGTCCTTAAACGGCATGGGATTCCACTCTGGCTGCCAAAGGAGCCCGACCCCACCCGCCTTGGGCTTGGAGCCAGGCTAGCTCCCGAGAAGGCGGTGGCCTGGGGCCTGCTTAGTCTCTGAATTTCTCTGTGCATGCAGCTTGGAATCTTGTTCCCTAGCGTCGGAAGGATGTTCATACTGTCCCCTTCCTTGGGGGGGGGGCGGGGGGAGAACGCACACGGCGTGCTTGTAGTCGGCCTGTGGTATTAGGAATTTCTTCCAGCTTAGATGGTTTTTTATTTGATTTCAGGGTATGAAGTTTGGGTTATAATATTCTCAGAGCATCTGTGATACGGCATTGGGACGCAGTGACTGCAAAAGAGATTTAAATTTTTTTCTCCCGTCTTTTTCCTTCTCATTTACAGTTGAAAGGAATGATAAGACATTTCGGTGTATCATGATTTCTGAGCAAGAAGACAGATTCTGCTCTGAATTCAGTAGAAACACCAGTTACATTAGTGCTCTTTTCTTGAATACAACATATATTTGAGTTTTCTGAAGTATTTGGCCCACCTAGGGTTTCCTAGTTGTCTTAGTTCTCTCTTACTAGTGGAGACTGTAAGAATTAGTTTTTAAAAAACTAAAAGGCATGGAAAGAGAAAAGGTACCTAACTTTTGGTTGAGAGCATCAGATTTTTGAGTGTGATCACATACTCTTCAGAAAGATGAGTAGTACTTAACAGTATTTTAGATAAAGTTTAATTGTAGGATAAAACATAACTGCTTTGCGGCTACAGTAAGGCATGAAACAGTTCAGTGAAATTAACTCTCTTGCCGAATTTGGGGAAAGACTGTATTCTACTGGAGTCAGTTCTTTATTGTTTGAGACAGGGTTTTGCATTGTAGCCTTGCCTGAGACTCAGTCCTCCTGCCTCTGCTTTTCTGGAATCAGTATTTATGAAAACATGATTGCTTTGTGTGACCTTCGTGTTGATGTTTTTATTCGGCTTGTTAGAATTCAGAGAGAATTTAGAAAAAAACTTGTATTGCCAAAGATCTCAGGGTGGAGGGTGGGGAAAGAATGCTGGGGGTGATATAGAAATTGCAGAGCTTTTGGACTATAGTGACTCATATCTGTAATCCTAGCATTCAGAGGCTGAGGGAGGAGGAGAGTTTGAGACCAGTCTTATATACCTAAAGACCTTGTCTCATACATCCCCCCTCAAAAAAAAAGAACTACACTGGAGTGATTCTCAGGAAACTTTGCAGTCTGTTATAGCTTCAGTAATTAAAGCAAAAAGCTCAAGGTGGTTTAAATTGATTTCTTTGAGTACTTGTGTTAAAGTAGAGTTGTCTTCAGTTCCCTTGTCTGTTCTCCCTCCTATTCTCTTGTATGTTTGCTTGGTAACTGAGCCACCTGAGCCAGCACAGATGTGTTTATTTAGTACTTCTTGGTTGGCATCATTCCTAAAATGGAGGAGGAGAGGAAATACTGCAGTTACTGCCAGGATTCCTTTTTTGTTTCTTGCCATCACAAACCTTTGTTGGTTTTAACTCATGCATTAATAGCACTGCTTCCTCTTTGTGGTACCCAGTCAACCAAAACCGTAAACCTGACCCAAAGAGCAAAGTTAGGGTTTCTGAAGATTAAAATGTTCAAGTTAGACATCTGAAAATAATCTTTTTTATATTGGAGCTCCTCTAAATGGATTTTTTTTTTTTTTTTTTTTTGTGGTACTGGGGTTTGAACTCAGGGCCTACACCTTGAGCCACTCCACCAGCCCTCTTTTTTTGTGTGATGGGTTTTTTCGAGATAGGGTATTGGGACCTTTTTGCCTGGACTGGCTTCTGAATGCCACCCTCTTGATCTCTGCCTCCTGAGTAGCTAGTATTACAGGTAAGAACCATTGGTTCTGGGCTGAACAGATTTTTTGTGGGTGAGGGGCAAGACTGGGGTTTGAGTTCACGGTTTTATGCTTACAAAGCAGGCACTTTACTAACCAAGCCACATCTCCAGTCCATCTTGCTCTGGTTATTTTGGAGATAGGGTAATGCAAACTTGCCCATGCTGGCCTCCAATCTTGATCATCCCAGTTTCAGCCTCTCAAGTAGCTAAGATTATAGGCATGAGCCACTAGTGTGGATTCTAAATGGATGTTTAATAATGCCTGCTCTTTTAAGAGAAAAATAATAATGTAGGAAAGTTAAAGATCTGTGTAATTTTATCTTAAGAATATTTTAGGTCTGGTGGTGGAGTGGCTCAAGTGGTAGGCCTGCCTAGTAAGCACGAGGCCCTGAATTCACACCTCAACACCACCACCACCAAAAAAAGTGATGTTCAAGAATATTTTAAAGGGCTAGAGGAGTGGTATTCAAGCTGTAGAACCCTACCTTAGCAAGCAGGAAGCCCTGAGTTCAAATATGAGTACCACCAGAAATATTTAAAAATCATTAAAGAGGGTAATATTGGATTGTCAAGATTGAAAAGTGCTACATTGTGATACAGTAGTGAAATTTTCTTCACCTGGCAATATTCTTTCTGGGGAGTAGTCATTTTGCCTGGAGTTGGAACTCCTGTTGGGTGGGGGAAGAAGAGAATGCTTATTTTCGACCTTCTCATAGTTCGGAGAGGTTGTCCTCATCTCTTGCTGATGAAGGGCTGGGGAACTCCAAATCCCAGATGGGTACTTACACTATACCTTGTTATCAGTCTAGAAGTTTTGTTTTTGTTTTTCTTTTTAGAAATTATTTAAAATATATAGAATTTTCACTTTAAATGCAAAATAGCTGGTTAAAAAAATATTCTGTAAGTTTCTTTCCTGAACTAGACAGTCACTCTTAAATTTTCAGTTCAGACCTTTGTTTTGGAATTATGATGACTGGAAAGTTTGCTATTTAAGCTAGTACCATTTTTTGTTTATTGTGAAAGTGGTTGCACGCTTTTGTGGTCCCTTTGTAATCTCAGGAACCTTTTAAAAAGGTGATCATAAAATTAGGTCAGTCAGATAAATTTTTAAGTCTCTTCCTGGTTTTACTATCTTGTTTTCTCACCTCACTCCTCTAGAAGCAGTATAACTCCCCTCCTAGGCTGTTTGTTTGTTTGTTTGTTTGGTACTGGGGTTTGACCTCAGGGCCTACACCTTGAGGCATTCCACCAGCCTTTTTTTTGTGATGAGGTCTCTTGAACTACTTGCCTGGGGTGGACTGCTTGCCCAGCTGGTTTCAAACCATGATACTCCTGATCTCTGCCTCCTAAGTAGCTAGGATTACAGGCGTGAGCCACTGGTGCCTGGCCATTATTTGTTCTTACTAGCAGTTTGGATTACTTTGCTTCTCCCTCCCTATTATAAGATCAATATACTCTTTTAGACAACAGTTTGTGATGGTAAAAAACGAAAAAAAGAATCCCAGCAGATTTAGTGCACAGAGTGGGTCAGGTGGTAGAGGACTTTCCTAGCAAGTGTGAGGCCTAGAGTTCAAACCCCAGTACTGCCAAAAAAAAAAAAAAAAAGTTAGATTGGTCCTTGGGATGTGGTTCCATGGTATGGGCTTGCCTAGCTTTTTCTAGGTCCTGAGTTTGTTCCCAGCACTGGGGGGAAAAAAAGTTTGTGTACTTGGTATTTATTTATATTATAATACAGTTTTTATTATTATTGTCATACTGGGGCACATTGTGACATTTAACAAAGTTCTTACAATATATAATAGTTGAATTCACTCCCTCTGTATTTGGTTTTTGTTGACAAAAAAAGAGTGCTGGGTTTTTAGCTGTTTTTAAATAACTACCAAATAGGTAATATATATCATGGTAGAAAAAGAACATTTACCTGAGCAAAAAAGGAAATAAAAATTATTTATATCACCATCCAAAGATAAAGAAACCTTAATGTTTTTCTAAGCTTTCTTCAGATTTTTGTATACATTTCTTAGAAAATGGGATTGTATGTTTTGTAACCTATTTTTCTTAGCAAACCTTATCACATTTTGAAACTTAAAAATAATATCATTCTTACTTTAAATCTAGGATTTTATGGAAGACCTTGGGTTATGGAACAGAGAAAAGAACTGTTTAGAAGGTAAATCTTTATTATATCAAGCAGAAAAGAGAATCTTAAACCCTTATTTCCTTTTGTTTTAAGAAATGCACTGAGTAGCCCTGGTTATTTTCCCTTGATCCTTTATATCTTCACCTAGCTAGGTTTTCAGACCTTCCCTGGGGAAGCTGACTAGTTCTGGGGTTTTGCCTCCCTCACCCAGAGTTGTGTATTAGTTATGTTGATAAACCTTGTAATACTTAATTTTTTAAGCTCTCACTGATTACTGAAGTTTAAAAGATACCATCATAGAATACAACTAGTTTTGTATGAGAGGTCAATATTCAAGAAGAGGAAAAACTGATATTTATAGCCTGTTAATATGGCCTATTTATACATATATAATTTTCTTTCCCTTTAAGGCTCCAGAAATGGGAATTAAATACATACTTGTACGCCCCCAAAGATGACTACAAACATAGGATGTTTTGGCGAGAGATGTATTCAGTGGAGGAAGCTGGTAATCTTTTTATTTTTAATCCATAAATTCAGAAATATGTGGAAAAAATAGCTATGCTTTAAAGTAGTTATACTAAAACTTTATTAAACATTTTATTTTCACTTTATAGTAGTTTCCTTTTATCTGGTAACTATTTAGTTATGTGCAAGCTAGTGTAGAGTTAAAGAGTGGCATTAGCAAGGTCATGACCATTAATGTGATTCATGGTTTTGCCAGTTGACTCCACCTGTTCTTTGGTCAGAAATTGTACCCTTTATTTCTGCCAGTGGTTTAAATACTGGGCTTCTGGAAAAAGAGTCTGAAGCAAGGGCTATGTCTATGGCAAAGCAATTGAGGCACCTGCCTTGAGTACAAATTTTAAGGGACTTAAAAACAATAATCAAGAGAAGCAGTATTTGATGCATTATTTTCTTTAAGCCAAAGTTAATGCAAAAACTCCATTACAGTCAAAATTTTAAAGACAAGATTAGTATTACTGATCTTTTTCCTTCACGCTCTAGTGCAGCTTAGTTTTGACCACTGCTATCGTGTCTTTATTTAAAATAAGACCTCACCCTAGACAAGTAAAAGGCACTACAGACTATCCTTGCTATGAATATTATGTTGAATTTGTTACATAGACCTCATAAACTAGTAGTACATCACTTTGAACTTTTCTTTGGGTACTTACTGAATGGGTAAATATTTACATATATGTGTATATGTTAATATATCTATGTAATTAATAAGATATAAATGGTTACAGAGCCTGGCCAAGGGACTGAAGGCAGAAAGCTATTTGGTGGGTCTGGGGTTTGATTTCAGGGCTTCATGCTTGCAAAGCAGGTGCTCTACTGCTTGAGCCACATTCTAGTCCATTTTGCTCTTGTTATTTTGAGATTTGAGGGAGGGGGGGGTCTCTTGAACTATTTGCTTAGACTGTCCTTGAACTGTGGTTCTCCCAAGTAACTAGGATTATAGTCATGAGCCACTAGTACTCAGCAGGAAGGTTTCTTAAATGACATAGAAGCAATTGAAACTTATCCCCATCTCTCTCTAGTGTTGTTTACTACTCTATATAACTTAAGAGAGCCTTTAACTTAATTAGTTTCTGATGGTGCTGGTAATGAAATTTAATGTGGTAATCAAAATACAGTCAAATGACTATTTTGACTATTTTGAGATACTACTGAATTGTATTCAAAGATACAGCTTGTGATAGTAGTGTTTAAATTTATTTTAAAAAATTGTCTGTCATACTTTAAAGGCTTAAAATCTGTAATGAATTTTTCCTACAGGTACAGGGATGTAGGGTTAGATTGGTAAGTCCATCCCTTAACCCTGATAGCTTTTTTTTCAGTATTTGCCTCGGGCTGGCTTTGAACCACAGTCCTCCTGATCGCTGCCTCCCAAGTAGCTAGGATTACAGTTGTGAGCCACCAGTGTCTGGCTTTGACCCTGCTTCTTATGAAAGCATTTTCTCTCAAATTACAAATCTGAGCCAGGTATGGTAGCACAAATCTGTAATCTCAGTACTTAGGAGGCTGAAAAGGAAGATTTCAGGTTCTAGGCCAGCCTGACTTACACAGTGACAGTGGTTTTTAAAAAAAAAATTGTAGGCATGGTAGCTCAGCCCTGTAATCTTAGCTACCCAGGAAGCAGAGATCAGGAGGATTGTGGTTCCAGATCAGCTCTGGCAAAAAGTTCTGAAGACCCCCATCTCAACCAATAAAAGCTGAACTCTGGCGACTCGTGCTTGGCATCCAGCTATGCGAGAAGCATAAATAGTATCCCAGTGCAGGCCAGCCAGGGCATAAACATGAGACCCTATTGGAAAAATAAAGCAAAAAGGGTGGAGGGTGGTTCCTCACCTGGTAGAGTGCCTTCCTCACAAGCTCAAGGCCCTGAGTTCAAGCCCCAATACTGCCCACCCCCAAAATTTACAAAGTATTTATAAATAGATTTATTTAGTTAGAAATTTCAGTTGTTCAGATACAGCCAAATAATCCAAAACCAAACCAAAATAAGAAATCGCATTTATACCTTTCAAATACTGTCAGAAATAGGAATGGCTTATGTTAGAGAATCTCACAATTCAGTATTTTTGGCAATGAAGAGAATACTTTATTGAGTTCAACTTGTTTCCCCAAATGAGTAAGAAACTATAGAAGTTAGAAGGAAGGATCTCTTGCTGGGTGCCAATGGCTCACACCTGTAATCCTAGCTGCTCAGGAGGCAGAAATCAGGAGGATCAAGGTTGGAAGCCAGCCTGGGCAAATAGTTCTGTAAGACCCTGTCTCAAAAAACCCTTCACAAAAATAGGGCTGGTGGAGTGGCTCAAGGTGAAGGCCCTGAGTTCAAGCCCAGTATCTCAAAAAAAAAAAAAAAGAAAGAAGGGTCTCTTATTTTCTGTTGGTTCAAATCGGGTGTGAAACTTGATCTTTCTTTGTATTACTTCAGGCTTACGCCAAAAATTTTGTATGACCTGTTATCACATTGGATATGACAATTTTTGTATAATTTAAGGTGCTTTTCCTTTCTTGTAAGTTGGAAGAATTGATCTCTTCAGTTGGAAAGTGAAGTTTCTTTTACTTTTCTGTGCTGTTCTCTAAAAATATGGATTTCATTCTTTAGAGCAACTTATGACTCTCATCTCTGCTGCACGGGAATATGAGATAGAATTCATCTATGCTATCTCACCTGGATTGGATATCACTTTTTCTAATCCCAAGGAAGTATCAACATTGAAACGCAAATTGGACCAGGTAACCCCTTACTTTTTAATTACTTTTCCTGACTCAGTACTTGAAATGAAAAATTTTCTTAGTTGCTTTTATGATGTTAAAAGGAAGTCAAAATCTATACTTGGTTTCTTTAGGAATTATTTACTTTAATCCTTCTGGGAAGGAGAATATTTATCAAAATAGGTTAAAAGAACTTTACTAGAAGGACCAGTGCCTTTCAAAGTTTGCATAAGAGCTGCCTTAAAAGAATGCTGGGGCTAGGGGTGTGGCTTTGTGGTAGAGCTTTATGTAACATGCCCAAGGCCCTGGGTTCCAACCTCAGTACCAAACCGCCCCAAAAAACACCTAAGAAACAAAGAATGCTTAGAAGTGATGTTAAAGGAATGTTGACTGCTAGGCTGCATTCTCACAGAACCCTATGCCGACATGTACTGGATCAGCAATCCAGATGATTCTGAGATGGGTAATCCTGAACATTTTTTAAGAAACTATTTATATACCATTGGGTGCTTAGTTGAATTTGTGATTAAAATTATAGAAATGGGGTTTACCTGTTAGACTGTTCTGTAAGTTATATAGATATTAGATGTTTTTAGTCTGGAAATGGCTAGTTCTCCAAGATGAGATTAACAGACTAGGTAAACTTTTTTCTTTCTTTTTTTTTTGTGGTGCAGGGGTTTGAACTCAAGGCCTATACATTGAGCCACTGCACCAGTCCTTTTTGTGAAGGGTTTTTGAGCTAGGGTTTTGTGAACTATTTCTCTGGGCTGTTGTTGAGCTATGATCCTCCTAATCTCAGCCTCCCAAGTAGTTAGAATTACAAGTGTGAACCACTGGCACCTGGCCAAACTAAGTAAATTTGTAAGTTGTTGATGAACCTGATTTAGATTTAAATTCTATTTAACATAAAAACTGGACATCTTTTTGGTAAAATGTAGAACTCCCAATTTTAAAAAAAATATTGATTTTTCTGTATACTTTTTGTGGGGGGTGGTATTGGGATTTGACCTTGGGGTCTTGCACTTGGACCACACCTCTAGCCCTTTTTTACCTGGTTATTTTTGAGATAGAGCCCCACTTTTGCCTGGCTGGCCTGGTTTTCTTCTCACAGTGGCTGGATGACAGGATGTCAAGCACATATTTTATTTCTTTAGACAAAGATTTATATTGGTGGCATCAAAATGGCTAGTAAAAATTTAAGGTAGGGTTGAGGGTATAACTCAGTAGGATAGGGCATACTTAGCATGTGCTAGGCCCTTGGTTCAATCCCTGTCCCCCTCCAAAAATAAAAAAAGATTAAGATAGTTGAAATTTTCATGAATGAGCTTTTAAGAGATTGTTTTTCTAGTTGGTCCAATTCTGTTTTGTTCTTTCTGATTTGTGCCTAATTAGGCATGTCTGCAAAGGTATTGTTTAGGATCAGTGTGCCTTTGGAGGCTACATCAAACGCTGAGATTTTCCTGTCTTAAGTATAGTTATTGTGTTTCTGTAATTTTTCTGACTCTATTAGGTATTCTGTAATCTACAGCCAAGGAGGTAGGGAGGATAGGTAACACTCAAGCTTCACAGAACATATCAGAACAAACTTTCTTTTTTTGCAGTGTTAGAGATTGAATCTAGAACGTTGATCATGCGGCAAGTGCTCTACTAGTTAGCTACATCCTCAGCACTAACATTCCTGAGGGATTTTTGTTTGTGTGTTTGTTTATGTATTTAAAAAGTGAGTCCCAAAACTCTGTCCAACTATTTTATTAGAGTTTTCTTCAATGAAACTGTAAAAAGAATAGGTCTGCTTTGAACGTTTTAAAAACATTTGCATTTAAGTATAACAATTAGGTATATATTTACTTGAAATCCATTGTTTTTGGGCTGGGGGGTGTGACTCAAGTGGTAGAGCTCCTGCCTAGCAAATGTGTGACCCTCTGTCCAAACCCCAGTACTGAGTGTGTCGGTAGGATAGTGGTGAGCATAGCTGTCTTCCAAACCCCAGTACTGCAGCTGGGCATTCGTGGCTCATGGCTAAATCATAGCTACTTGGGAGGCTGAGATATAGAGGATTGTGGTTCTAAACCATCCCAATAGTTTATGAGACCCCCATCGCCAAAATAACAAGAGCAAAATGGACTGGGAGGTGTAGCTCAAGTAGTAAAGTACCTTTTTTGCAAGCTTGAAGCCCTGGGTTCAAACTCCAGTACTATAAGAAAAAAAGTGGGGGGGGGGTAATTTCTTTTTATTATGAGATGAGTTAATAAGTATTTTGATTTTTTGTTTTTTCCTAGGTATCTCAGTTTGGATGCAGGTCATTTGCCTTGCTTTTTGATGATATTGACCATAATATGTGTGCAGCTGACAAAGAGGTATTCAGTTCTTTTGCTCATGCACAGGTCTCCATCACAAATGAGATTTATCAGTACCTAGGAGAGCCAGAAACTTTCCTCTTCTGTCCTACAGGTATTGTATATAATAGCTGTTAATTAGTTTTCTTGACACAGACTGTAATTTCGAAAAGACCCTATAGATGAGCCCTATTAATACCCCTCCTTGGTGTTTAAAAGTTGGAATTTCCCGCCCCTTCCCTGCCCCCAGTACTGGGGTTTGAACTCAGAACCTACATCTTGAGCCACTTCACCAGCCGTTTTTTAGTGATGGGTTTTTTCAAGATAGGGTCTTGCCAACTATTTGCTCTGGCTGCCTTCGAACCATGGTTCTCCTGATCTCTACCTCCTGAGTAGCTAGGATTACAGGTGAGAGCCACCAGTGCCTGGCCAGGAATTCTTTTACAGATGACATTTCTCAAGATTGTATATTGGAGAAATTTAGGAACATATAAGTGACAACAGATGAGCAAAAGATTTTTTCGTACAGGAAGTACATAAACATTACATTGTCAGGATTAAAGGAAAGATAGTATTGTTGAAATGAAAACTGGAAAAAAACAAATTTACATTGTTTTAACTTAGTCATTTCTTATTTCCACCTACTTGTTCCCTTTTTCTGCCCATGCATATCTGTTCCTTTTTTACCCCTCCCACTCCCATCTGGGCTTCTACTTCCAGTAGTCAGCATAGAAAGCTTAATAATCTTCCTGCTTTTTCCTGCCCCTCCCCCTAGTTTTCTTCCATTAAAAATGTTCTAGTCTCTGCTTCTTAAAATTTAGCCTCCAAGATTTTTTTCCCCAGACTCTTATTTCTTGTTCAGGAAGAGGTAATTAGTTCTAAGAAAGTTAAGACTGAATTCTTTAACTTTGTGTGTATGTCTGTCTTTGATTATTATGAGCCATGAACCTTATTTCAGTGGTCTGATGCTACATGAATACTCAAATATTATTCAGTAAGATACTGGGAATTAATTCACTGCAAGGTCATAATTTTAAGTTGTAGTTGAGTACCGATTGTCATAATTGTGCATGTGTTGTTATGTTATTAATTAATTATGTATGGCCTCTGATTATAAATGAGAAATGTAGGTAATTCAGAATTATATAGAAAATGTGAACTCCTAGTTGTTTCTTTAATAAACTTGTATTTCTAGTGATTAGAAGGATTGATCTATACTTTGTTTTTGTTGTTTTTTGAGATAGGGTCTATGTAGCCCAGACTGTCCTAGCACTTCCTAATGGCCCAGACTGGCCTCAAACTTGTGATCCTCCTTCCTCAGCCTCCCGAATACTGAAATTACAGGCATATACCACCATGCCTCGCTAGAATAACAGATTTTGTGATTTTTTTTTTTTTTTTTTTTTTCTTTTTGTGATACTGGGGCTTGAACTCAGGGCCTTCACCTTGAGCCACTCCACCAGCACTTTTTTGTAAAGGGTTTATTCGAGATAGAGTCTCGCTGAACTGTTTGCCTGGGTTGGCTTTGAACTGCGATCCTCCTGATCTTTGCCTCACTAGTAAGCTAGGATTACAGGTGTGAACCACCAGCCCCTGGTGATACTTTTTAAAACAAATTTAAATAAATTATTTGGCAGTACCGTGGTTTTGGTTTTTTGGGGGGGAGGATATTGTGGTGGGATTGAGGTTTGAACTCAGGACTTTGCACTTGAAAAAGTAGGCACTCCAAAAGCAGATACTCTACTGCTTGAGCCACACCTTCAGTCCATTTGGCTTTGGTTATTTTGAAGATGGTGTCTCTCTCACAGACTTTTTGCCCAGGTTGGTCTTTGACCTCGATCCTTCAGATATCAGCCTCCCAAGTAGTCAGAATCGTGGGTGTGAACCATCAGTGCCTGGCTGGTACTGTGGTTTAGACTTCTGGCATTGCATTTGGTAGGCAGGTGTTCTACCACTTGAGCCAGGTGCCCAGCATGAACTGATTTTTTTTGGGGGGGGGCCTCTTGATCTCTGCTGCTGAGTAGCTAGGATGACAGGTGTGAGCCACCAGTGCCTGGCTTTTTTTTTTTTGTAAAGCAGTACTGGGGTTATACTTGCTAGGCAGGCACTTGAGTCATTCTGCCAGCTCGTGGATTGATTGTCTCAAATGAACCATCAACTTGAGTTTACCATTTGGACAAAAGAATTTAGAATGCGTAGAAACTTTAACACATTCCAGAATTCATGACTGTTTCAGTACTGACTTGTTAATTTTTTTCCCTCTGTATTCAGAATATTGTGGCACTTTCTGTTATCCAAATGTGTCACAGTCTCCTTATTTGAGGACTGTGGGTGAAAAGCTTCTACCTGGAATTGAGGTTCTTTGGACAGGTAAGTTTTTAAGATTTATACAGTAAAGCTTTAATTAGCTGCAATCTAAAGAAATCAGTTGCTCTTGTTAGTTGAGGTGTTTTTTTTGTTTGTTTGTTTGTTTGTTTTTTTAAGAGGTACTGGGGTTTGAATTCAATGCCTCACGCTTGCTAGTTGCTTCTTACCATTTGAGGCATTCTACTAGCCCTGAATGCTTTTTAAAAACTGAGCTTTAATCAGAAAAATGTTACAAGTACTTTCTATTATAAACCATATGTTCTTCACTTAGTATAAAAGACATCTTGAACTGGGGATGTAGCACAGTGGTAGAACACCTGTCTAGTGTGAGCAAGGCCCTGGGTTCCATTTCTTGCACTACAAAAACAAAACAAAACGAGTTCCAAGGATTTTGGAGTTACTGAGTATCAGTTATAAATACATTAATAAAAATCCAAATGGAGCTAGGGTAAAGGATATTGATCTCATTCCTAGGAAACTTCTATTTTTATTTTTAATTTTCCATAGTACGAGGGTTTGAACAGGGGTGGGGGCTTTATACTTGCAAAGCAGGCACTCCACTGCTTGAGCCACACCTCCAGTTTGGTACTGGGGTTTGAACTCAGAGCCTCATACTTGCTAGGCTGGTACTCTACCACTTTACTTCACCAGCCCTTTTTCTGTGTGTGTGTGTGTTGGGTATTTTTGGAATGGGGTCTCCCTTTTTGCCTGGGCTGGCCTCAAACCACGATCCTCCTGATCTCTGCCTCCTGAGTAGCAAAGATTATAGTCATGAGCCACTAGCACCTGGCCAAAACTTCTGTTCTCATAAGCTAGGTGGAGTAATACATGACTATATCCCAGCTGTGGCAGGAAGATTGGGAATTTTAGGCCAACCTGGGCCACTCAGTGAGACCCTGTCTTTAACAACAACAATAATTTTTGAAAGGAAAATTGTGACGGCTTAGGGCATACTATGGAACAGCATTTGCCTAGCTTGCATGAAATAAAAAAATACAGAAAGTGGACATATTGGGAAAACACAGTAAAAAGTTGTATGTGTAGTGTATTTTAACCATATAAGAGGTTCTTTTAATAAATGGTGGTCACTATTTCTAGGTCCCAAAGTTGTTTCTAAAGAAATTCCGGTGGAGTCTATTGAAGAGGTTTCTAAGATTATTAAGAGAGCACCAGTAATCTGGGATAACATTCATGCTAATGATTATGATCAGAAGAGGCTGTTTCTGGGACCCTACAAAGGAAGATCCACAGAACTTATCCCACGTTTAAAAGGAGTCCTGACAAATCCAAATTGTGAATTTGAAGCCAACTATGTTGCTATCCATACCCTTGCCACCTGGTACAAATCAAACATGAATGGAGTGAGAAAAGATGTAGTGATGAGTAAGTAGCCCCTGTTTAATCCTTTTTTTAAAATTAACATTTAATAGTTGTACAGGGTACATGGTGACATTTACATACCTGCTCATAATACTTTTTTTTTTTTTGTGGTACTGGGGTTTGAACTCAGGGCCTACACTTTGAGTGACTCTACCAGCCCTTTTTTGTGATGGGTTTTTTCAAGATAGGTTCTCGTGAAGTATTTCCCTGGGCTGGCTTCGAACCGTGATCCTCTTGCTCTCTGCCTCTTGAATAGCTAGGATTACTGGTGTGAGCCACTGGTGTCTGGCTCATAATACATCTTTATTAGATTCACTCCCTTTATCCTTCTCCCTTATCCCTTCATCCCCCCTGTATTTGATTCTTGAAATTGAGAGAAGAGGTGAGGTTAACTGGAGTCATTGGTAAGTCATCACAGTTTGAGGTTTTGTTAAGGTTTATTGCTCATTTCTATGTTGAGCCTATGATAAAAGAAAGGCTGAGTGGTTTGGACTTAACCCCTTGACCTTAATTCTTTGTTTTTAAAATATGGCCCAGTCCTTGAAATCTGAGTACCAAACCAAACTTTTTTTTTTTTTGGTGGTACTGCAGTTTGAACTCAGAGCCTCAATGTTTGTTTGGCAGGTGCTCTATCACTTGTACTCTACCAGTCCTTTTTTCTGCTGTGAATTTTCAAGGGTCTTATGAACTATTCGCCTGGGCAGGGCTCACAGATGATCCTCCTGATTTCTGCCTCCCAAGCAATTAGGATTACAGCCACCAGCATACACTCCAAACAGTCTTATGGTCCCATTATTCCTAGAATCATTCTTACTCAGTTTGTGTTTTCAGTTAATTTTATTAAATGGTATCATTTAGATGACTAGATATTCTTGAGTTACTTTATTGTTTAGTTGCACATTACTTTTGTGGAACATATTCTCATTTTAGACATTGGCTTACTAATTATTTATGTAAAATCCATAGTTAATGTAGTTCTAAGTAAGAGTGCTGGCTGTTTATTCATTTACATTTAAATTACCTATTATGTGGCAGGTGCATCTTCATGGGTGAGTCCTGAAGATGCAAAGAATAAAGTAAAACAGTTTAGGTTGGATGATGCATACAGGCAATCATAGGGTGTTAAATGTTGTAATAGTTATCTAAAAAGTGGTGTGGGAACAACAGCAGAATGATCACTTCTGCTAAGCAAGGATGACTGTGCCAAGTGCTGGTAGTTCATATCTGTAACAGTAGATTTGGGAGACAGATCAGGAGGATTGCTATTTGAGGCCAGCCTGGACAAAAAGTGAGACCCTATTTCAAAAATAAGCAACACAAAAAAGAGCTGGTACTGTGTCTTAAGTGGTAGAGCACCTACCTAGCAAGTGTGAGGACCTGAGTTCAAATTCCAGTACTGCCAAAGAGTGACTGTAAACAATATCACAGATATTTAAGCTGGCTCAAAATTTGCCCAGAATTTGGGGTTATTAAAGGTTCATGAACTTGAGGTGAAAACACTGCACATAGAAATTTTGGAGTTCATCTGAATTTTAACCCACTTAGGATATTGAGGTATCACATTATATCACTTTGTGGTATGTAGTTGCCGTCTGTACTATTGCTTCCACTTACTGATTGAACTCATGCTTGCATTGGTGGCCCAGTCGTTGTTCCTCTCTCCCCAATAAAAGACACAAAACTAGGAATATAATCTCAATTCACACTCTCTATACATGACATTTAACTTTTGTGTTTTTTAAGTCAGTATGGAGCACGCTATGGAGTAGCAGGCACTTGCCAAACTGGGCTGTGTGCAGGGATAAGGAAAGCTAAGAATACAGGGATTTGTTTTGTTTTGTTGTGGTACTACGGTTTGAGCTGCAGGCCTTGCGCTTGCTAGGCAGATAAGCTACCACTTGAGCCATGCCTTCACCCAGAGTTTTTGAATACCAAGCCAAAGAGTTCAGACTTACTTTTTTCTACCTGGTTCTAGCTATCCTGGTTCAGAGTTTCATTGCTTTATCTGTGTTCATATCAGAGCTGTGTTAATTTTCTTTTCTTTCCCCCTCAATGCTTTTATTAATAATGAAGTTATAAGCTCTTAGAGTCTAGGGAATATTTTCTTTTTGGAAAGTATAGTGACTTTAACTTTGCACTACCAATAATTGTTACTCAGTAGACATTTATGGTCAACTTTTCTGACGATTCTAAAATACTATTTATTTCAATTGGGATCTTAAATTTAGCAGCACAGTTAGATGACTTACTCTAGATGAAAATGGTCAGTGAAGGGTCTTTCTTCTGTTTGCATTTTTATATTTGTTTTGTTTTAGTTATTTGCGTCTTTGCAACAACTCACTGCACTTTATCCCTCTCACTTAGGAGACTTCAGTAATCAAAATTATTTGTAAGCAAAACTATTTTTGTGATTTTTTTTTTCCCAGCTGACAGTGAAGACAGTACTGTATCAATCCAGATAAAGTTAGAAAATGAAGGGAGTGACGAAGATATTGAAACTGATGTACTGTATAGTCCGCAGATGGCTCTAAAACTAGCTTTAACAGAATGGTTGCAGGAGTTTGGTGTGCCTCATCAGTACAGCAGTAAGTTTGGCCATTCTCTGTAAGGGGCTGAATTGCATGGTTGATCATAAAGAATATTGTCATGTCTCTTACTTTAGGCCCTTATATTTCAGCAAAATGAAATAAGGAATCTAGAGAGTAGGGTTTTTTAAATCTTACTTTTGGTCTTAAATAGCTTTTTTCTTGATGAAATTCTAATTGAAATAATGACTTGTTTTTAAATACAAATCTTCAAGAGAAGATAATAATAGATGTTGACATTTAATGATGTTGCTTACCTGTTTCCTTACTACCACCCCTCTTTCATCACTGCCTGTGCAGTTTAGAGAAATCTTATTTAGGGACTCAAAGTATTTGGAATCTCAAATTGAGGTCCTGCTTATAGATGTGACAGAGAAATCATTTCTATAAATCTGATTTGTTCTGTTTCTAATTCTGATTATCCATGACTTTTTTTTTTTTGGTAGGTAGGCAAGTTGCACACAGTGGCGCTAAAGCAAGTGTAGTTGACGGGACTCCCTTAGTTGCAGCACCCTCTTTAAATGCCACAACTGTAGTTACAACAGTTTACCAGGAACCTATTATGAGCCAGGGAGCAGCTTTGAGTGGTGAACCTTCAGCTTTGACTAAGGAAGAAGAAAAGAAACAGCCAGATGAGGAACCCATGGACATGGTAGTAGAAAAACAAGAAGAAGCAGACCACAAGAATGACAATCAAATATTAACTGAAATTGTTGAAGCTAAAATGGCAGAGGAATTGAAACCAATGGACACTGATAAGGAGACCATAGCTGAATCAAAATCCCCAGAGATGTCTATGCAGGAAGATTGCATTAGTGATATTGCTCCTATGCAGACTGATGAACAGACAAGTAAGGAGCAGTTTGTGCCAGGGCCAAATGAAAAGCCTTTGTATACTGCAGAACCAGTGACTCTCGAGGATTTGCAGTTACTTGCTGATCTGTTCTACCTTCCTTATGAGCATGGACCCAAAGGAGCACAAATGTTACGGGAATTCCAGTGGCTTCGAGCAAATAGCAGTGTTGTCAGTGTCAATTGCAAAGGAAAAGACTCTGAAAAAGTAAGTGTGCTTAATTTACCGGCTGCTGACTTTTTTTTGTTTGTTTTTTGTTTTTTTTGGGTCATTTTGGCAGTAGTGGGGTTTGAATTCAAGGTCTTACAAGTAATCTACCACTTGAGTCATGCCCATGGCCTTTTTATTGTTTTAGTTATTTTTTTTCTGGTAAGATCTCACTTTTGCTTGGGATTAACCTCAGACTGAAATCCTCCCACCTATCGCTTCCAGTTTAGCTGAGATCACAGGCATGTGCCACCACACAGGTCTTTGTTAGTTGCTTTGGGGGGGCTCTTGCTACTGTTTGCTTAGGCTGACCTCGAACTTGGATATTCCCAACAATCTCTGCCTCCAAAGTAGCTGGAATTTTGGGCATGAGCCATCAGGTCCAGCCTAGAGCAGGTTCTTAACAAGGACACTGCTAACAGGCAGAAAGCCAACCACATTTTGAAATTTTTTTTCTACTTTTTTGATGCTATTGGGGTTTGAACTAATAGAATATTAAAGTTTGACTTTGTTGTTAGGGATGAAAAAAGTCAGTGTTTATTATTTTTTAGGCATATTTATCAGTTTGGGGAAACACAAACTGTCTTATTGCTTATTCAGAGTTAAAGCCATTGATTGATTAATATTTAAGATAAACTGCAGGTACTGCAGGTACCTGATAACAAACAGCGTAGTTTTCACCCATCTTAGATTATTTTGTTAAACTTTTTTTTTTTTTTTTTTTTAATGGTACTGGGGTTTGAACTCAGGGCTGCAGGGGCTCTTAGTACTTGAGCCACTCCGTCATTTTTTGTGATGGGTTTTTTTGAGATAGAGTCTTGAGAACTATTTCCCCTGGGCTGACTTTGAACCATCTTGATCCTTCTGATCTTTATCTCCTGGCCCGGCTAAGCTTACAGTTTTTTTGTCTCTTTCTATTGATCCTCAATAGATTGAAGAATGGCGGTCACGAGCAGCTAAGTTTGAAGAGATGTGTGGACTAGTGATGGGAATGTTCACTCGACTCTCCAATTGTGCCAACAGGACGATCCTTTATGACATGTACTCCTATGTTTGGGATATCAAGAGTATAATGTCTATGGTGAAGTCATTTGTACAGTGGTTAGGTAGGTGCACCAGGGACAATCTCTTCTCCTCATATATATTGTCTTTAAAAAGAAAAAATTATCCCACAGGGAGAAAAACATTTAGGGAATTGGCAAATTTTCAAATCTTTTTTAGTTCTTTTCCTTGGTGTAGACATTGTTGACCAAGTCTTGATAATTACATTGAATACATTAATTTTTCTCCCTTGGGCTAATTCAGCATATCTTGAAGATGTATTAGAAAGTACTGACTTTAATTTGCTCTGACTGAATGCTTCCTGGATGGAACCCTGTATATTATTACCTGATTTGGAGATGAGACTCTATGAAATGTGACTCTATAAGCTTTCTGCTGCTTGCTGTGTCTTGATAACATTAATGCTGTGAACAACTGCTGAAATGACCCAAGGGGCCTGGCAAGAGGATGCCATCCTCCCAGCCCTGTGCGCATGCGAGCTTTAGTGGAAGGCTATTCTGGTGCTACTCAGTATTATTTCATATGACTTTCTCCTTATCCATCTACCAAGTATTGATTTTAGCAGGGGATGGAAATTACAGACCCGTAAAACTGCTTCATTCAGTGGACTTTTATATGGCTTTGAAAATGGTGTATTTTTTTATTTTTCTGGAAATTCTCAAACTTGGTAAAAAGCACCAGCATGGCCATGTTTCTCCAGGGACCTCATTTCATTTCCAGGTTTTCAATCCAGCTATAAGGAATATGTAATGGACTTACATATAGCACATAGCAGGCAGCAAAGCTAACTGACATGTCATAGCTTTCATAGTAGTCACAAATCTATAATGGGTTTCATGGTTTTAGTTGTGAAGTAGATGATCTGAAGCACCGTGAGTTTAGATTAATAAGGAATAGTAGAGATTTTTTTCATTTTCTGCCCATATACCTTGGGGCCCTTAAATATGAAAAAAATAACAGTTTTCCTGTGATAGACCTAAATTAACTGCTAAAAGTAGAGTTGTCTAATTGTAAAAAGAATAGAGAATTTTAATTCTTTTTAAAAGGCTGTTGGGATACTTACTTTAGATGGAAGATATCTGTTCTTAGACTCAGGAAAAACCTTTGTATTGGTGGTTGGATAATAGCATTTGTCTTTCAGGCTTCTGGCTAGGGAGTTACAAATAATCTTTACGGGAATATACATCTTTAAGGCCCCTGAGAATTTTCCAACCTGAAATCTGGGTTTCATTGTTGGCAGGACAGGGTTGAATTCCAGGTCATGAGCTTTACCACTTAAGCCATGCCTCCAGCCTTTGAAATCTGGATTGTTGAATTTGAGAATATATCACTTAAAATATTTGGTAATCAAATTCAATAATTTCTAAAAATTAAATTCTTGATTACATACAGTACAGTATTGTTTCTCAGGCTTTATCTGTGTATTAGGCAGTTATGGAAGTTATTTCCCAATTTGTACAGCTAGTTGTGCAACTCTCAGGGTCAGAGTATCTTAGAAGTTTTGTGTAATGATTTAGGCATTCACATAGCTCTACAAATGCTCACAATAGGGAGAGTATCTTCACGGTTCTCTAGTAATTTCAGGGGTTAATGATTAAAACCCTTTGTTTTCCTCCTCTCTCCAGTCCAGCTGGCATTCAGTCCTTTAAAGAATGTGGCTATGCAGTACTTTTGATTACTAACGACCTCTATTATCTTCTTCCCCATTGTGTACAGATGGGAGAGTCCTCAGCACAAGTGTCTACTACTATTGGATGGACAGCGGCAGATGTTCACAGCGCGTCATGATTAATTAGTTTAAATTGAAAGGTTCTATCTGTGAGGTAGCTCAGGTAGATTTAAGGGTAGTAGGCATGAACTGAAGTCACGTTTGCGCAGCGACTGAGGCATTAACCATGTTTTCATTTATACAGCTCTTCGTACATGCAGCTTTTTTATTGTAATAGTTGGAAGTGCTAGTTACGTTGTAGTCTCAAAGTGGGGGGTAGGGGAAATTGGCTGATCTTAAAGTTTGAGAAGTACAGTTTTTTTCCTGCAGTGGAAATCACACTGAGTTATGGAATGGGGCAAGTTCTCTTCATATCTGTAAATTTTGACCCTATTTCATGTTTATTTTACAAATACTACATGCTTTGTTTTTAAAAAAAATACCTCTACCCCCAAAACATGACAAATCCAGATATTATCTCTTAATGGGCCTGAATTGTCAAGAAAAATTTTGGTTTGCTTTGGGACTGTCTGACTAGCACACTGTGTTTTGTATTGATGAGACTGTTAACTTGAACAGGAGGTAGAATGCTGTCTTCCAATGGAAAAGAACTATATGCGCTGCTATATCTTGTCAGAAGACTAGGCAGGTGTTTTTGATTTGGTTTCCAAACATCTGCCTTTAATTATAATTGTTAGGTAGCTTTATTGCTTATAAAGTTGGTTAAGTGGTGGCCTTAAATACTGACTTCTGGACCTCAAAGCCTGCTATTCTATACGTGTGTTCAGTGGATTGCAAAGGTAATGGCTGATCAGAGGAACCAGATACAGTCATACTTAAGTATGTTTTCACTCTGGACAAATTAGAAGCATTAATTGGCTCTCCTTAGTTCTCAAAAACTGGTATAATTAGCCACACCTGAATTTGGGTTGTCCTTGTCCACAAAAAACCAGATTTCTGGGCCAGAATGTAGCTCAGTTGTGAAGTGCTTGGGTTTGATCCCAGCACCAAAAAATGAAAAGACAAAAATTTCTCACTGCATTTCGTTTTGTCAATGAAATAGCAGTTTCTTTTATTTATTCTGCTAACCCTAGTTTTCTGACAAGATTACTCTCTCCCCTTTTCCCTTTCCTGTACCCTTCCTCAAAATGTACAATGTGACTTCAGACAGGTTTAATTCCTTCATGGGCTGTGATAATAAAATGTCACATCTGTCTCATTCACCTTAATTTATAGTAACTATAATTTCATGATAGAACAAACAACTGACTTGATTAATATAGCTATATCTAGGGAATGTATAAACTTGACCCATACAAACTTGGGATTTGCTTTTCTTCCAGTAATTAAAGAACTCATTACAGTGGTTTCCATTAACCAAAGGAAGAAACATCAGTTTTGAAATACCATTATAAATTTTTAAAAATAATTATTATCACAGCCTTGCCCTGAAACCCTGGATTATTATTGTTAGACAGCTATTTCCACAAAGTGTTTGTTAGTTTGTTGGACATTTGAGACCCCAGGAAATCCCCTTTCTCGTAACATTCTCCGCTTGGATCTGATCTCAACAGGGTGTCGTAGTCATTCTTCAGCACAGTTCTTAATTGGAGACCAAGAACCCTGGGCCTTTAGAGGTGGTCTAGCAGGAGAGTTCCAGGTATCAATATGAATTCACAACTGAATTGACATTTTCTTTGTTTTATGAGAAACCTTATGTTGCGCATCAGATGGCTGGAAGGATTGGTCTGCCGAAGGCTTTCTAGTCCCAAATTCAATTTAGTTACATAGCTGGATTTTAAATCAAATTTTCCTCCTCTTTCACAGTAATTTCTGAAGGAGATGCTGCCAATCCCCCCCGCGCCTGCGAAGCGCAGCGGCTCTAGGTATACACTTCACATTGTTTCTTTGCAGGTCGCACAGCATTTAAATCTGCGCCCGCAATGCACAATGCGCGCATGCTTGTCTGCCAGTAGAAACTCCATGAGCAGAAAAGATAACTAATTATGCAGTGAATGGTGAAGGGCTTTGGTATTTCTTTCCCAGTTAGAAATATAATGTAAGAATCACCTGTTAATGAAAATCTGAACAAAATTTGAAGTGTTTTTTGCTATTGAATTTGTTCATGGACTTTTCTGGTGCTCTACTTTTCTCCCCCTAACAGGTGCTCTGCTGCGCACAGCAAACTGAAGCGCATTGCTTTGGGGATAAAGCGTCTCCTGGACAGATAACCCTCTTCAGACCAAACCTCTCCTCCTGACAGTCTGTTCTGCCATCTTGTAGTAGAAAGATGGTCTTTTTAAGATTGGTTTAAAAAAAAAAAAATGTCATAATTGGAATAGGTTTTTTTTTGTTGTTTTTGTTTTTGTTTTTTTTAATAAATTTAGATTCCTATTAATGTGCCACTAAAGCTGTGTAATTCAGTTTGGGTAATTTCTATTCAGAAGCACTCCCCTCCCCCAGCAAAGAGGTGTTTATTTTAGTAAAGCATAGTATACCCCTCTTCTTTAGGTCTGCCTGCAGTAGCCAGTTAATGTTAAGTTGGTAATCTGCAGTGCACACTCATTTAAAGAAATGGCTATCTTCCCAGTACTAATTCATCTCCCTTTTTTTCTTCCCACAGCGTTTGCTGCCAATTGATGGGGCAAATGATTTATTTTTTCAACCACCCCCACTGACTCCTACCTCCAAAGTTTATACTATTAGACCATATTTTCCTAAAGATGAGGTAATTGTCTTATCTATTAACTTGGTATATGGTTATATGCACCTTACAACTTTCTTTTGAACTCACTAGTTAAGAGAATCTTTTCATTGTCTTAAAATGCAAATGTGTGTGTGTGTTTTCCTGGGAGGAAACACAAGTTCGTGCACATTCTAAACAAATGCATTACTATTACCACTGAGCTATAACCCTGTGTTAGTTTTCCATTGCTGAGCCAAAAAATATCCAAGAAAAACAACTAGGTAAGATGGATTTATGTTGGCTCATGGTTTCAGAGGTTTCAGTCCATGGTTGACTGGTTCCATTGCTTTAGGGCCTGTGGTGGGGCAGTACATTGTGGTAGAATGGTCTAGTAGAACAAAGCTGCTCACCTCATGCTACTGGGAAGCAGAGTGGGTGGGGGAGAGCTAGGGTTCCTGGACAAACTATATCCCCAAAGATATGTCTTCAAGTGATGTACTTCTTGTAACTAAGCCCTACCTCCTAGAGCTTGCACTCCCGCCCACTAGTGCCAGTAGCTGTGGCCAAATTTTCAACACATATGCTTTTGGGGACATTCCAGATCCAAATTATTACACCTCTCAACTCTTGGGGGAAACATACAACTTGAGGAAGAGCCTAATTAGTTTAGCTTCTTAAAGTTGTGAACATCTAACATCTTGTGCTAAGTTCTTAAATTCCTGGTCAAATAAGGCCAGGTGCTGGTGGCTTGTGCCTGTAATTGTAACTACTTCAGGAGGCAGAGATCAGGAGAATCAAGATTCAAAACCAACCTGGGCAAATAGCTTGAGAGACCTTATCTCAAAGATAACCAACAGAAAAAAGGACTGATGGAATAGCTCAATGGTGGAATCACCTGTCTAATAAGCATGAATCCCTGAGTTCAAATCCCAGTACCACCAAAAAAAAAAAAACCCAAAAAACCAAATGAGCTGGTACTGATGGCTCATGTCTGTAATCCTAGCTACCTGGAAGACTGAGATTGGGAGGAGCTCAGCTGGAGGCCAACCCAGGCAAATACATTGTGAGACTCCCATCTCCAAAATAACTAGATCAAAATGGACTGGAGGTTTGATTCAAATCAGTATAGCACCTGCTTTGCATTCGTGAAGCCCTGAATTCATACACCAGTCATACAACACACACACAAGTCAGATGAGGGTGAATATGATTGAAGTACTTTTATGCTTGTATGAAAAAAGAATAATGAAGCCCGTTAAAATTGTTTTAAAAAGAGAGGAAGGGAGCTGGGCACTGGTGACTCAGGTCTGTAATCCTAACTACTCGGGGCAGAGATCAGGAGGATCAAAGTTTGAAGCTAGCCAGGGTAAATAATTCAAGAGACCCTATCTCGAAAAAATAGCCAACACAAAGGGCTGGTGAAGTGGCTGAAGTGGTAGAGTACTTGTTTGCCTGGCAAGTGTAAGGCCCTGAATTCAAGCCCCAGTACTGTCCAGAAAATAGGGGCCTGGCACCAGTGGCTGGCTTCTGTAATCCTAGCTACTCAGGAAGCAGAGATCAGGAGGATTGCAGTTTGAAGCAAGCCTGAGCAAATAGTTTCGTGAGACCCTATCTCAAAAAACCCTTCACAAAAATAGTGCTGGTGGAGTGACTCAAGGTGAAAGCCCTGAGTTCAAGCCCCAGTACCAAAAAAAATAATAATAGGGGTGGGGAAATAAAGAGTAACAGAGTGAGTTTGATCAAAGCACACTATTATGCATGTATGGAAATAACACAATAAAAGCCTTTTGTACATGCTAATAAAACAGTGTCTAATGAAGAGTTGGTATTACAAACATGTCTAAATAATGTGTTACCCTCAATCAAATTATCTTCTATAATTTTCTGTTGCAAAGTGGCTGCAGATGGTTGACAGCTATAGAAAAAAAGCAAGTCTGTTGAATAGGTTTAAAGCACTGAGAGACAAGTGTAGTGGTATACTCCTGTAGCCCCAGCACTCAGAAGGCTGAGGACAGCCTGGTTTAATAGCAAGATCCTCCTCCTGGCATAGTGGCTCAAATGGTAGAGCATCTGCCCAGCAAGCATGAGGCCCTAAGTTCAAAGCCCAGTGCTGCATAAAATAAAATAAGAAAAAAATTTAAATAGCAAGATCCTATCTCTAGAAAGAAAAAAGTTGAGAGACTCTGAACCTCTTTTAAGTTTGCTAGCTTTTGAACTTAACCAAAATCATCCCCTACAAAACAGTTTTCCATGCTGTTTTCTGCTGGTTTTACACATGCGACTCAGCGAATACATGTGGTACTGGGAACAAACCTAGGCCTTGAACATGCTAGGTAAGCACTCTACCACTGAGCTATACCCCCAGCACTATATATATATATATATATTTATTTTTTTTTTTTTTTTAAGAAGAAAATGATTTAACTCAGTAATTTCAGAGGTTTCAATCTATGGTTCACCTGCTTCATTGCAGTGGGATAAGAATATATAGCTGAGCAAAATTGCTTGTATACCTCATGGTGGCCGAAGAAGCAGAGAGAGAACACCCCAGCAAACAGGTGGTATTTCTGACATGCCAGACATTTTTTGAAAAATGGTCTCTCTGTGTAGCCAGGCTGGCCTATTAACTCTTAAATGCTCCTTTCTTGGTCTGCTGAGTGCTGGGATTACAGGCATGTACCACCATGACTTCTTAAAAAGTCATTGTTGGGTTCTGTGTCATTTTTATTTATGTGTTGCCTAACTAGATTATATTTTCAGGCTTCCGTGTACAAGATTTGCAGAGAAATGTATGATGATGGAGTGGGTTTACCTTTTCAAAGTCAGCCTGACCTTATTGGAGACAAGTATGTGATGACTATTTGGACTTGGGAGTAGGTATTTCATAGCCAGGTTGATCAGGTTGAGGCAGGGGGTGGGGTGGTGATAACTGGAAAGAAATGTCATTTTTTCAGTTCCTATTTAGTTTTAGTAAAATCTGAAAATTAATACCATTTTCAATTTCTTTTATACCAAATATTGTTTCCATAAGTTATTGAAATACATTGGGCCTTGCATCACTGAATTTTGCATTTTGTGTTAGACACTTAAAAACTTACTTGGACTCTTTTCCTTCTGAGCAGGTTAGTAGGCGGGCTACTTTCCTTAAGCCTGGATTACTGTTTTGTCCTAGAAGATGAAGACGGCATATGTGGTTATGCCTTGGGCACTGTTGATGTGACCCCCTTCATTAAAAAATGTAAAATTTCCTGGATTCCCTTCATGCAGGAGAAGTACACCAAGCCAAACGGTGACAAAGAACTCTCAGAAGCTGAGGTAATAACGCTGGTTTAGAATTACACTATGGTAATATTTTTTTTTTTTCATAAAATAAGTTTTTATAAAACTAAACATCATAAAATTTCAGTACTTTCTTAACTGGCTTTATTTTTTTTATTTTTTTGTGCTGCTGTGAATTGAACCCTAGCCCCTGCTAAGCAGGTGCTCTACCACTAAGCTACATTCCCAGTCAGGACCTTGAGCATGCTAGACAAACAGTCTACCACTGAGTACATCTACATCTGCATTCCTAGGTCTTCCCCACACTTTGATTTTAAACAAATTTATTTAATTAACAAGACGCTTGCTCTGAAGGGAAAACTGTTGAGGATTTTTTTTTTTTTTTTTTTTTTTTTTGAGACAGGGTCTCACTACATAGTTCAGGCTGTACTGGAACTCTTTATGGAGTCCAGACTGGTGTCAAGCTCATGATTCTTCTGTCTTAGGTACTAGGATTACAGGCATGTACTAGCAGGCCTGGCTAGGATTCTTTTTGTGTGTGTGTGTGTACTGGGGTTTTGAACTCAGGGCCTACACCTCAAGCCACTCCACTAGCCCTTTTTTTGATAGGTTTTTTTGAGATAGGGTCTCTCGAACTGTTTGCCCAAGTTGGTCTTGAACCTCCATCCTCCTGATCTCTGCCTCCTGAGTAGCTAGGATTATAGGTGTGAGCCACTGGTGCTCTGCTTCATTTTTTTTCTTAAGGATTAATTTATCTGTATTTATAGATTACCCTACAAGTAACAGGTATGTACAAAACAGTTTAAAAAAATTGTCACTGATGTTGCAATGATAAATGAAAAACATTAAAAATTCTCCCATCAAACAAGGTATGAAAGGGCAGTACTGGGGAGTTGAATTTGAGGTCTCTAGCTTGCTAGGCAGGTGCTCTACCATTTGAGCCAAACCCCCAGCCCTTACTGCTTTGGTTACTTTTGAGACAGGGCCTTGCTTTATGCCCTGACTGGTCTAGACTGTATGTAGCTGGGATGATAGACACACACCACCATACCCAGCTTGAAAGGACTTTCTATGTTTCAGTTGTTAAAATAGTTCAAGCAGATTAATTTACTGGAATATAAAGATAAAGAGCTGAATGAGTATTAATTATACTGATGGAGAAATATTTTCAGAAAACCATCCCATTCCATCTCCATAACAGCATTGGCAATTTAGTTTAAAAAAAAAAAAAAAAACTTGCTTGTGTACATAATACCAGTTACTTTATGTAGAAAAAACAAATGAGAAGCTGACCATGTTGTGACAGTGTTGTTCAGTTCCTGGATTCAGTCCCCATCATACCCCCCACCCCCATCAGAAAAAAAGAAAGAAAAAGGGAAATAGTCAGAATGTAGCAGGACCAAGTTGGAGTTGGAGTGCTGAGAATGGAGTGCTGAGAATGTATTCTTGTTGGATAAAGACAATTTCTGAAGTAGCAAGACATTTTTGCTGCTGCGACACGTAATTGTAGCTTAGTCCTCCATTTCCAACTATGCAGTATGTATTTCATTTCATTGATTGGCTGCCTGTTAAATCAGAATCTGATCTGCTTTGTTGGTAAACTCAGTTGTTCACAGTAGGCTTTCATTGATTTGACTAAATAGTGTATATGTCAGTTTCTTTTTTGTGTGTGTGTTTGTGTTGCTATATTGGGGATTGAACACAGGACCTCACACATGCCTAGACATGTGTACCGCTGAACTACATCCCTAGCCCATGAGTTTAGTGTGACATTTTCACTATGACATTTTTCAGTGACTGGGGTACTTTTTTGTTTGGGATCACTGCTGTAGTGCAGGATGGTTCACATTACATTTTTTTCTTTTTTACTTTATGATGCAAAAGCAATATACAGCTGGGTGCTGGTGGCTCACACCTGTAATCCTAGCTACTCAGGAGGCAGAGAGCAGGAGGATCAAGGTTCAAAGCCAGCCCAGGCAAACAGTTCTGTGAGACCCTATCGAGAAACACCCTTCACAAAAATAGGGCTAGTGGAATGGCTCAAGGTGAAGGCCCTAAGTTCAAGCCCCCAGTACCACAAAAAATAAGTGGTATGCTCAGTGTTGTGCTCAGTGTTGGTTAGTTTATGATGATTTTCATTTATGCATCAACATGTGTATTTTTAAATTAGTTCTTCTTGAGGATAGTTTTAATGCTTTTAGGTATCCATTTGAACTCTTATTTGGAATGTTGTTTTTTTTCTTTTCCATGTTGTTGTTCCCCTTTGCTAAAATTCTCTACTCTTCCTGCACCAAAGCAGTTACATTGTCTTTATAGTGCTGTTGTGTTTTTTTTTCGTACAGTGCTGGGAATTGAACCCAGGTCCTCCCACACTTTAGGCAAGCACCTTGCCAATGAGCTATATCCCCACAGCTGCCTAGATAAACCTTTAAAAAGTGAAACTGCTTCAGCTAGAATCACAAGCTAATAACTGGAAGATACTAAATATTGCTTACTTTTTTCTGTTCGTGAGTTCTAAGATACAGATAAAATGAATAAATACCAAGAGTCAGAACGATACTAATTTTTGCAGAAAATAATGTTGAGTTTCCATGAAGAACAGGAAGTGTTGCCAGAAACTTTCCTTGCCAACTTCCCTTCTCTGATAAAGATGGATATTCACAAAAAAGTAACTGACCCAAGTGTGGCCAAAAGCATGATGGCTTGCCTGCTGTCTTCACTGAAGGCTAACGGTGAGTATGTATTTCTGGAGTTGGCATTATTTGGTCAGGACTATATTTTAAGATAAAAAAGAAAAGAAGTGAATTGTGAATTTACACTCCCCCAATTTTGTGTGTGTGGATGTGAAAGATCAAGAGAGAGACAGACAGGATCTCCCCATGTTGCTGAAGTTGGCCTCAAAACTCCTTGCCTCAAGTGATCCTCCTGCCTCATCCACCCAAGTAGTTGGGATTACAGACATGTGCCTGATTGATGGCTTAGTTTTTGAATTATCAGTGGTTTAAGAATTTAATATCTAGCCAGGTGCTCATGCCTGTAATCCTAACTACTCAGGAGGCAGAGATCAGGATTGCGGTTCAAAGCCAGTCCAGGCTTTGTCTTGAAAATACCCATCACAAAAAGAGCTGTCAGAGTGGCTCAAGGTGAAGGCCCCAAGTTCAAGCCCCAGTACCACAAAAAAAAAAAAAAAAGGAATTAATGTTTATTGGGGTGGCAGAGTGGCTCAGTGGTAGCATTTGCCTCGAAATGGTGAGGTCCTAAGTTCAAGCCCCAGTACTGCCAAAAATAATAGTGTCTGTTAATCATTGAGACATGCTGCTCTTTATTTTACACCATGAATACTTACTTTGAACCCCATTTAAATGAGAAATGAATTCATGAGGTTATGTTTTGTCAGGAGGCCCATAAATAATGGTTGAAAAATTAAGTGAACCTAATAAAAAAAAACTTCATTTAGGAATGTAATTTTTGTGTAAGAGTTTCTTATCTAAACTCAACTTTCAAAAATGTCTTGCTTTACTTTAGTACTATAAAATTTTTTTCTGTAAAGATCCAGAAGTAAATGTTTTAGGCTTTAAGGGCCACATACGGTCTATTGTATATTCTTTTTTTAAACAACCATTTACAAATGTAAATGGGCTGGGCATGGTGGTGAATACCTGTAATCTCAGCACTCTGAGACAAGAGGATTAAGTTTGAGCCCAACCTGAACTGTACATAGCTAGATCCTATCTTACAACAAAAACAAAAACTCGTTTAGCTGTTGTTGGACCATACAAAAATGAGTGGTTTGTCAAGTCCTTATTAGCCAGTTGTTGATACACAAGAATGCACCTTGTTTATTGTTGCATTTATATGTCATTTGAGCTGGTGGTCTCTCTGGAATAATTCTCATTTTATCTGAAGAAAGGATAATTCAGTGTTGTACTTGAAATCACATACATGTGTGAGATATGTCTTAGAATTATATTGGCTTTTGACATAGGCTGGAAGACATAGGCAGGAAGTGGCTCTGCCTTGTGGGCCCCTAAAAGATACTTTTACGTTGTATGGTTTTTTTTGGTTGTGTGTGTGTGTGCGTGTGTGTCTGAAGTCAGGGCTTCAGGGATTCAGGGCTAGGCAGGTACTCTACCACTTGAGCCACTGTGGCAACCCCTGCTTTGTATGTTTTGAACAAAGGTGTCCTTTGTTTTCTGTCTTGTGCAACAAAAGATTTTCTTTTAGAGGAAGAATTTCACTCACTGATGAATATTCGTAAAAACTTTTAAAACTGATATAAAATTTAAGGACTTGTATAGAGAAGCCCTATTATCTATTTTTAATACATTCACATTTATAATTCATATTCATAATTCTTGTAATTGTATGACTGACATATTTTGAACATTTGCTTCATTTCTAGGCTCCCGGGGGGCTTTCTGTGAAGTGAGACCAGATGATAAAAGAATTCTGGAATTTTACAGCAAGTTAGGCTGTTTTGAAATTGCAAAAATGGAAGGCTTTCCAAAGGATGTGGTTATTCTTGGCCGGAGCCTGTGACACTTGTCCACACTGGAACTATCCAAAGTCTCTTAATTCCACCGTGTGGTTGGTGGTTGGGGTCTTCATAGCAGCTCATTGTCTGGAGCAGCAGCAGATCGCCAGCGGAACTAGAAACATCACATTTTCAGACTACTCACTGGTTGGAAGAAGATAGTATTGCTGCAAATCCTGTATGAAACAGATGTGGGCTCCTCTTTTGGGTCTTGTATCTTATGTTAGGTGCCAAGACCTCTTATATGGGCTTCTATAAGGAAAGGGCCTTCAATAAATGTAGTCAGCACTATTTTCTGCATCCAGTGTGGTTGCATTCTTCACATGAGAGTAATCAAGATCACTTTCTGTCATTGTCCTTGGTTTATTGAATAAAATGTCTCATTCTTTGGAGACATGTCAGCAGTGAGAAAGATGTTGTGGATTTTAGAGGCTTTGGGGTGGATTTTCCAAGTGGAATGGTGGTGGCATTAGTTTAAGCTGAATAAGTTTGGGGCATTTTTTTCTGCTTTCATAAGGCCATGGCCAGTTATCTCCTGTAGTGACCATTGGTTCAGGCATGTTGTACTTTGTAGGGACAAATGTGCAGTTGTTTGTGGCAAAAGCCCAAAATTGGTAAACTTGTAAATTTTCTTGTATATAAACTAGCTGTAATTTGACTATCCTTTTTGTTTACTGTTTTTGAAATATATTTTCCCTTCTGAAAATGAAAGGTAATGGTTTAGAATGGCACTTTGAATACTGTAAATCAGTGGAGGGTAGATTTTCTTTACTTTTTGTCTTTTCTTTTCTAGTAAGTTTTATTTTTAATGCACCTCCCATATAGGTTCAGGCCATGATCATTTTTAGTATGAGAGCCTAACTTCATAGGACTCAGACCTGTTGCTAAGTGCAAGTCACATCTGGAAATTAACCTCAATAGGAAATCAGCATGTAAATCGTTAGTTTTGACATCTCTGTCAGGTGGGGTTAGGGGACCAGCTGGTTTCATTTCCCCTTAAGTCAGTTGTCATTTAATCTGAAAATCTGTTATTCTGTTTAATTACATCAGAGTCTTTAATTCTTGCATGTTTGTATCTAATTTTTAAATGAAAGAATGAGCACACTTTAACCAATCAGTGATTTATGGTTGGTTACCCTTTTTCCTTAATCACAGATTCTGAAAGCATCGTGTATTTTTAATTTAGATTTGGTGTTTTTAACGGTTCTGAGCATGAGGCTGGCAGATAATCTCTTCAGGATTCAGTTTTTCATCATGATTGGCTGACTTCTCCATAGACTGATAAGCTATTTCATTATCTTCCCTGCAGTTTTGCATTTTGCATCAGCTTTTTGACTTTGAGCTGAGAGGAGAAGGACAAAGGGAACTTGAAACATTTTCCTTCATACAACTCCATCAGTGTGGGCTTTGAGAGAGTCTGAAAGCACTGTACCAGAAGTACAGTACCTAGTGACTTACAACTGAGGCTTAAGAGTGTGTGCTGAATGGGTGCAGAGGAAGGAGGCCTCTTAGTTCTTAGGGTAAAAATCTTTAACTGATAAAAGGATGTTGTATGTTGGAAAGTTGAAAACATGTTTGCAATTTTGAGGTTTGAGGTGAAGGGAAGACCCCTGTCAGATATTATTTAACACCATTGAGTGTTTACTCAGTTTTCTCTGAATATATCTCAAGCACTAGTGGATAATTACAGCATTTTATCTGGAGGATTTCAGTTTCAGCCTTTTGGAATCAGGATTTTTAAACAAGTTGCTTTTGGTTTTATCTTCGCTTTTAATAACATTGGGTAGTCTTCTGGTTACACATCTTAACTGTGAAACATACCAAGGTCTGTACCTTCATCGCTCTAGGATTGTAAAGTGCTATGCTATCTTCCATGGTTATGAATATTTATATTAAGGTTGGAATGACATTTCATTGATTGTTTAGATCACAGCTCAGTTCCTGTAGAAAATGAACTGTAAAACTATTTGAAGGCCATGCAAGAGGCAAAATAAAACCTGAAGTGAACATGTGTGGTGGTGTACTGTGTGCATCTACTTGTTGTCTTTTCTCTTAATGCCTCACCTACAAACAGGTATTTCTTTTCCACAGCTGCTCCAAATTAAGAGACTGGATCTTGAAGGCAGCCCTTCCTCTTCCTATCCTCAGTAAAGAACTTCCAGATTTTAGGCAAGGCTGAAAAAAATAAACTAGTTTTAGCTAAGCCACCATCTTGCTACAGGTACAATAAGGTTATGAAATAGGGCAGTCACTGAATTTCTGCCATCTATAGGATAGGGAATGAACAATTTGCCTGATTCTACAGTCAAAAGAAAAAAGGGGGTGGGCCTAAATTGTGAGAGAAAATCCAGGGGTTGGAGTGGGGCCCAGTGGTAGAGCGTCTGCCTAGCAAAATAAATAAAAAACCTTAGTTCAAACCCCAGTAATGCAACAACAAATCCAAAGCTGAAGGATGTTCTGGGTTGATTTGGGAGTTGAAGCTCAGATAAAGCGGGTTGGCCAGGAATGGCTATTGAATCCCACAACCTAGCTGACTAGTCCTCTGCTAGCAAGCACAGCATTCTGCCATTTGGGTAGAAAGTCTCCGGGGCCACCAGGGCAAGAAACCTCTAGGACAGACTCAAGCTGAAAGGACAAGGATACGGGTGGAAATCTCTGGAGCTCACTCTGTCTTCAGGTCCATCGACAACACAAATCCAAGAGCATTTTGTTTTTTCTTAAGTGCTCTGAACTACCCTTTTGGTGGGAAGAGAATGGGTTTACACTTAAATTTATACTCCCTTTAAGGAAAGCTTACCCTGGATTGGAGGAAGGGAGCCTCTCTAGAGGCTGCGATGAGCTGCAAAAAATTGACGCCCTCATGGTCGTGGAAATAAAAAGTCCGTTAACCGTGAAGGCCACGTCTTTGCCTTAGGTCCTAGTCCCGGAGTCTCTTTCTCCTCGCCGCCAACCCCGAGCTGAGCGTCTCCTTTAATAGGCTGGGCCGGAACTTGACGAGGTGCCGAGCCCCGTACGTGTCTGGGGCGGGGCTTGCAGACGGCCCTTACAGCATGGCTGCCGGCGCTGCTGCCGCCTTAGCCTTCTTGAGTCAAGAAAGCCGAGTCCGGGTCGGGGGTGTCGGGGGTCTGCGAGTGCCGGGCCCGGTCACTATGGACAGTTTCTTCTTCGGTATTAGGGAAAGGAGGGGTGGAAAGTGGTGCTGGGCGGTAAGAGGTAGAGACGAAGAACAGGAATGGCTGGTTGCACAACGTGTGCATGGGCGGAGGGGGATGTTCCCATGCGGCCGCTAAAGCCCGAGGATCTAGCGAGTCCCCTACCCAAGGTGTGCTGGGCGGGGCTCAGAACCGAGCGCTCCAGGTGTTCTGAGAGAAGGGACGTTTGGTGGGCGTGTGAATGGGCAGGAAATCCATGTCCAAGTGGGAGGGGACGGGAGTGATGGTGAAACACTCACGTTTACACTGTCTTCCAGGTTGTGAGCTCTCCGGCCACACCCGCTCCTTCACCTTCAAGGTAGAGGAAGAGGATGATGCAGAGCACATGTTGGCATTGACCATGGTGAGGGGCAGGAGAGAGGTTTGACGATGCATGGACTTCCAGGCAATTAGTGGGCCTTTACCTAATCTTCCCCTTGCCTTTATTGGGAGTCACCTCTGTCCAACCCCCAATCCAGGGACCGACCTTTGATGCTGGGCGAGTTCTAGGGTAGGTGCCTTTGTGGTGTCAGCCCTCACTTGAGAAGACCCTGAGGCCCTATATACCTTTCCCAGCTCTGCCTTACCGAGGGGGCCAAGGACGAGTGTAATGTGATAGAAGTTGTGGCCCGGAACCATGACCACCAGGAGATTGCAGTTCCTGTGGCCAACCTCAAGTTGTCTTGCCAGCCCATGGTGAGTTCCCTAGCCATGCCTTGGGTAGGGTGGGGATTAAGGATTTAAGTACTCATCACAAGATGGTGTGAGCCAGACCTCATTCCTTGCCTTCCTACCAGCTCAGTTTGGATGACTTTCAGCTCCAACCACCTGTAACCTTCCGCCTGAAGTCCGGCTCTGGCCCTGTGAGGATTACTGGTCGCCACCAGATTGGTGAGAGTAGGGGTGGTTCCTGTCCTTTTCCTCCAGTGGATTCTCCATCACAACTCTTCACATTCTGCACTCCCGCCCCATCCCAGTCTTATCTCCCAATGTAGGCCTCCGTCCAGGCCAACATGTCCTCCCAGGCTTTCTCTGGGGCATGATTGTACCCTTCACTCTGTCCCTCTCAAGCCTGCCTACCTACCTTCCTGTCCTAGTTTCTCCAACTCCAGTGATAAGACTGCTTTGGCTCTTTCTCACCCAGTTTAACATCTGGGGTTCTTCCCACCTAGACCATGAGCCCTGGGAGGTCAGGGTCCCTGCCAGCCTAGCACCATGCAGCATTACTCACGTGGTGTGAAGGGCGTTTGGTTTTAGCCTCCCCCTCCCTCTATTGCTTGTGTGTCCACCAGTTACTATCAGCAATGATGTCTCTGAAGGAGAGAGTGAAGATGACAATGAAGAGGAGGAAGCTGATTTGTGCCCCATCCTTCCTGCCAAAAAGCAAGGGAGCAGGCCCTGACCCTCTGTACCCTTTGGTAAGTAGGAGGGAGGGATGCCCAGCAGGGTCTGGGAGCAGGCAGGAGGGGAGGGCAGGCCTAGATGGTGACCTCTTATTTGCTCTTCTTAGGTCAGGTAGCTGCCTCCTACGTGCGCCACACACAATGTTCCTGGACAAGTTTCAAGAAGTTTAAATGTTTCTTCTCCGTTGAAGAGGAGAGTCTGGGTCAGGGATTGGGTGGGAGGGACTTGGGCTAGTGCTTGGAAAGAAGGGGCCATTCTCCATAGGGTCCTAATGTTCTGGCCCTACAGCCTTGCCTGGATTTCCTTTTTCTATAGAGGTGGGAGGACCTCTGAATTTCTATCCTGATCTTCTCTCCCCTCCTGCCTATGAGGATTAGGTCAGTATCTGAAGCTGAAAGCTACATATTTTTAACACTTTTTACATTTTTAGATAAAGGTTTAAATAAATTGCTGTGGGGTTTTCTGCAACTCATTCGTGTGAGTTTTTTTTTTTTTTCCCATGCTAGGGTGACATTTCCCCAGGGACCACCAGGTGGCACTGTGGCAGCACAAAGAGTGGCCCTGGGCCTAGGGAAACCTGGGGAAATGTGGGGATTCTACCATCCTCAGGACCAGGCCTAAGCCCCAACTACCTTGCTGGAGGGGGACCTCCCATTCCAGTCTGTTTCCAGTCCCTGCAGGGAGAGGGGGGTCATCGCAGGAGGTTATCAGCTTCCAAACAAGGGGTCTGGGCCTCTGTCAGCACTCAGGCTGATGGGCAGGGGGCAGATAAGCAGGCTTAGAAAGCCTAAGGAATGTGCATCCCTAGCCCCATGAGGGGGCTAAAGCCCAGAGAGGGGGCCTGTGAGGGGTGGAGTGGGGACCAGTCTTTTCTCCTTCAGTCTTTCAGGCAGGTTGAGCAGAGCTGAACCCTTAGAAACCTGATTCCTAGGGCCAGATGGAGGGAACTGGCCAGATTGGGTGACAGGGAAACCAGAATCTGGGTGGCCTGGCATATGGGGGTAGAAAGGAACCCCTGGGAGTTAGCCCCCTTGGCTAAGGGATTCCTGACCCCCAACACACTGCCTGCTGGGGGGTCTCTGCTGCCTAGAATCGGGTGGTTCCAGGGTCTTGTACTACTGTGACTTAGGAGGAGCGTGTAGTGACCAGCTCTGGGGTCAGTAGTTCAGCAGCTGTGTCTGTTGGGGGGGTTGTCAATGCCCCACAAACAAACAAATAAACAAAAGGTTACCTTCCCAGACAGCCTGAGGATGGACAGAGAGCAGGGCCTGAGGGAGTCAGGCCAATTCTTGAACCAGCAAGTGAGTGGGCATGGGGGAGGGGCCCCCTAGATAATGCAAAGGGTCTGATATTAGGGTAGGTGAGGGCAACTTCACCTGGAAAAGCAGTTCCTCTTCAATACATTATTAAATAAGGAGGTTTCCTCCACTCCCGTGGTGTTAGGGGATCCAAGTTTTCAACCGAATTCCTTTTCTCAAGTTGAGAACAAAAGATGGCTTTTCCCTCAGTGATCAGGGTCGCAGGTGCCTTTCTCCTCAGGAGGACTTTCCCCTAAGTGCTTCCACTACCAGCCAGGATAAAAGGAGCAGCCCTCTACCCCGCTTGGAGCCATTCCCACGAGGTCGAAGAAGAGAGTGGGGAGCTGGTGCCCTCTGGTGGGCGAGGTTGAAACCGCTTGTGGCGGTGCGGCTCCCCACACCACCTCCCTAAAAGCTTGGGCGGGCGAGTGGTCTTTAGGAAGGCGAGGGAGTAAGCTCACAAAGGCTTGCACGCATGCAGGCACCGGTTGGTTTATTCATTGGAAGGACTCGTGCTGGAGTGAGGAATTGGGCGACCGCACTCTCCTTCCCCTTCATCTCGACTCCAGCCTCAAAGTTCTCGGCACGTGCTCGGTTGGAGACGCAGGAGACGAGCTGAGTACGGCGCCAACTCCCCTGTGGGGCAGCCTCCCAAACTGACCAATCTACCGGCCCTATACGTGGCCCTGCCCCAATATCTGCCCCCCGTGGCGCCGCTGAACGCCCTTTGTATTTCTCGCCTGTTTTCCTGGTCGGTCTCCCAGCGGGCGCGGGCGCGGGCGGGCGGGCTCAGAGCACGTTCCTGCCCGCAGTGGGGGCCCAATCCACATCAGCCTCTCAGTCCCGGAGTTTCCCGGACCCCTGGGGCACCCCACCGACAGAACTGGGAATTGTTTTTTCTCCTGCCTTGATCGCGCCTCCTAGATCCCCGTTTTCTGCATCTTCAGCGCACAGTAGGAGGGCTGCCGATTCACTTTGGCCTCAGGCTGAGCGCTTGGGGGATGAAGGTGCACGCCGGCGGTGGGACACCGCTGGAGGAGGGGCAGGCCGGTATTTGGGAGGCGAGGAGGGACAGCTCTCAGACCGGGTGCGAAGCGCAGAACGCTGTCTCGGCGATTTGCATTTGAACTGTCTGCAAGAGTCCGCGGCGCTTTGAACGCCGGGTGCGGGAGGCGCGCGTCGCAGCGAGGGGCAGTCCTGGCGGCCAGCGCCACGGGTGCGGATTTGAGGGGCCTGGGTCGTGCGGCGGGATGAGTTTGGGACTCGGCGAGGGCGTGTTTGCGGAGAGGGGCCGTTTGTGTTGGCGAAGAGTGTGTTTATGTTTGCAGGCGAGGGAGTTTGAGTGTGTGTGTTTGCCCAGTGTGGGGGCGGCCGGGAAAGGTGGCCAGGCTGCCACTCAGCGATCAGCTTGACAGGCGCTCCCTCATCTGGGCCCGGGAGCTCTGATTGCAGATTCGAGGAAACAAAATAGCAATTGTAATTAGGGGGCTTTGATAAGATAAAGAAAGGAGGGAGCTGGCTGGGAGGTGAGCGAGTCAGTGAGGAAGAGAGGGAGAGAGCGTCCTGCGGGGGCTCCGGCGGAACATTTGCATCTGTCAGTCACCGGGCACACCGGGCCGAACCGGTGCCTGCTGCAGGGGTGACTCATCTGTACAGGTCTCCCAGAGACACGGACTTTTGGGGAGAGAAGCGTCTCGACGATCTGGGTGAAGGGTCAGTTCGTGGGAATTTCCAAATGTAAAGGAATTTGGTTCTATAGAGGCCCCTAGCAAAGATTAGGAGTAGAACTAAAACCCTGACCTCAGACCCCTTAGGCCACAGAATGCCCATCTCTTCTGGAAGGGGGAGGGAGGAGAACTTTCTAGGAGCTCCAGAACCCAGGTGGAACTCTGGTCTAAGTCAGATGCTTTGTCCCCCACCTCCACTCCAGGGACCCTCGAGGATTCAAGAGTGGCTCTAAATTGTGACTAGATGAGCTAGCTACCCTGACCCCTACCTGGGTCCCCACTCTGCTCCTCAGACTTACTTTCAGAGGGCTGTGTCCATGGTGGGCAGGATGCTCTTCCCTTTCAAGAAGTACCCATCCCCTGCTTGCAGTCTCACCATTCATTCATTCATAGATACAAAAGTAAACATTTCTGAAGGCCTGCTTCATACATAGGACATGAGGTGAAGACTGTGAGCAAAGAGACATCACTCTGGAGGACTTGGAGCAATGCAGGAGAGAGGCAGACAAGCCATGATGCAGACCTCTAGACAGAGCACAGTGAAGGACTGTGGGCACTGGAGCCCATCTGACCAGTCTCCCCTTAATGGGCCCACTTCCCAGTGGGGTTAAAAGGAGGCAGTGCTTGCCAGCCCTTTAGCAGATACAAGTGCTCAGTAAGTGGTGCTTACCATTATCTGTTGGGAGAGGGGTGAAGGCAAATCTCCCTGGGCTGAAGTCTAAATCTAGGCAGTCTCCTCATTCATTCATTCGTTCATTCACTCACTCATTCCTACAACAAACCGCAGAGCAAACCTGCCCAACTCTGTGCAGTGAGCTACAATTCCTTAACTAAACCTCTGGGTCTGTGTGGGCCAGAGCTGAGTGAACAAACTCCTGAAGAGGTGTAACAGGTGGATTCAGTTCATATTGCTCAGTGTTTGTACTCACGGCTGGGCATAGGGAAAGGTGGGACGCAGATAAAGGGGAAATAGGAAGAACCTGATTGTGTTGCTTGACAAGGGCTTGTCTCCCTCTGACCTAATGGTTTCCTGGGACCACTCCAAATCCTCCAGTCCTACCCAGGAACAAAGAGGGCCAGTGGGAATGAAGGCAGCAGCTAGGTAGGGTCATGAATGGCTTTACCTGTTCCTCAGAAGTACCTGTCCCCAGCCACTCCTGCCCACCCGGGTTGTTTCCATAGAAGCAAGGTGGTGGCTCAGGAAAGCAATGAGCTTGGGAAAGGCTTAGATAAGTCCCTACCTACTTGCCTACACCCCCTCCCCAGCTGACACAAGACACCAGCTCTTGCCTACTACACAAGTGTAAATGCCAGTTAAACGGAAAAATGATTGGTTTTGGAGGAGGAAAGGACTGGGTGGCCTGGATCTAGGTTCCTTTCTCGAAAAAGCTGTTGAGAGTAGTTATTTTTGCTCCTTCTGCCTGCTGAGATTTAGGTGGGGGCAGTGGCTGTGGTCCTGCCAGAGACTTCTGAGCTCCTCATTCTATCATCGGTGGCTCATGGCTCCTCTCAAGCTTCAGGCTAGTGGGGGTGGGGGTGAGGGTCGACAGGGGCAGAGTTGATGGTGATAATGGGGGAGGGAGGTGGCATTTCTCCCTCCCAGGGCCTCCTTGGAAACTGAGCGATCCAGGAGAGACCAGCAGAGCTGGGTACTCAGTAGAAAGATACGGGGAGCCAGGTCCCACGTCGCACAGGCATGCTCTGCACGAGAGACGGGCGCACAACCATTCATTCCACTCTATAGAGGCCGCTTGCAAGGACCAAGCCCTGCCCAAGCACACAGTAGGTGGCTCAAAGACAGGCGGTGAAGCCAGAGAGCTATGAACAGACTCGGCCGCACGCAGAGAAATAGCACCCCCAGGCTCAGCGCACCAAGCGATCCTGAAAGCCTGGGCCCGGGGTCTGCAGACCCCACGGAGCAGGCTGTCCCAGGTGCCCCCACTTCTGCGCGCCAGGGGACAGGCGGGGGTTAGGGGGAGGCGCCCACACTAGCCGCCCCCGCCTCTCCCGCGGGTCCCCAGACCCCTCCCCTAGTCCAGACCCCCAATCCTAGACCCGTCGGCCGCCCCGCCCCGGTCCGCCCCGCCCCCGCCCCGGGCAGCGACCCTGCCCCAGCTCCCAGCCGGGGGCTGCGGGCTCCGGCCGTCCGCTCCGCGCTCCCCCCCCTTGAGCCCGGTGCGGCGCCCCCCGCCCCTATCCCTCCCCCTCCCTTCCCACCTACCCACCCACCCCGCCGGCCCGTTACCCTCCCGCCTGCTCCGGCTCCTGAGCAGCCAGCGGCCACCGGCTCCGACAGCGGCGCAGAGCGAATCAGCGCGCGCGGCGAGCACGACATTTCACGGGACCCGCGGAGCCGCGTCGGGATCACCGCTGGGCTCCGGCACCAAAGCCTTCCTCGGCCTCCGCCCCCTTGGCTTGTCCCCCCGCGGCAGCCCGCGGGACGGGGAGATCCCGCCGAGGCTCTCGGTGCTCCCGGGGCCGCACGCCATGGGCAGCCCTCGCTCGGCGCTGAGCTGCCTGTGAGTACCGCCGCTGTCCCCGCGTCCCCGCCGGCCCGGGCCCGCAGCGCCCTCTCCGCTCACCCCACGCCTCTCTCCCGCCTGCTTTTGTCTCCCACAGGCTGTTGCACTTGCTGGTTCTCTGCCTCCAAGCCCAGGTAAGGAGCGCTACGCAGAGGCGGGGGCCGGGCGGGCCGGTGAGGGGACCCGACTGGCAATGTCGGGCAGGGACATGAGGACCGACGCTGCGTCCAGCGCAGCAGGGCTGGAAGGAACCTTAGAAATCCAGCCCCGAACTACCCCGAGGACAGAGCTAAGGAACAGAGAGGTAGCACCTTGGCTGCCTAGGGTCACACAGCAAGTGAGTGGCGAGAATAGAGCCCAAAGATTTGAGTTCAGTGCTGTCTCGCACGCACGCTAGCCAGGTCGGGTGGATGGGAACTCTACGGGCAGCCACACCTGGCCTCTAAGGAAGGGGGCAACTGGAGCCAGGGGACTGGTGTTGTCAGGGGAAGTCGGGTAACAGTAGCAAAGACCCTCTCCGCTGTCTTCTGGGGAAACTTGTGGTTGGTTTGGCCCAATGGTAGGGTGCCCGGGTCCTCTGCGGCTTCAGCGTTTGCTCCATAAATTTGTCTTTATAAATGTCAAGGGTGGGGTAGCGCTGCCTCCCTACTTAAAAGCGCCCTGCTCCTCTAGGAAGGCCCGGGCGGGGGGCCTGCGCTGGGCAGGGAGCCCGCTTCCCTGCTCCGAGCTGGCCGGGAGCCCCAGGGTGTTTCCCAACAGGTGGGTCCAGATTCTCCTTTATCCCGGGCTCATCCATCCTGGGCTGGGTCTGCGGGACTTCCCCGGGGAGGGGGTTGGTGGCCTGAGCCGGCATGTTGGGGGGATCCCCTCAGTCCCTGCTGACTGCTTGACGCAGCGGGAGGGGATACAGGGTGATGGGGCCACTTGGGCCCCTGGGCGGAGTAGCATTATAATGGCGTGTTGTGTATTTTTCAATTTCCTAAAGGTAACTGTTCAGTCCTCACCTAATTTTACACAGCATGTGAGGGAGCAGAGCCTGGTGACAGATCAGCTCAGCCGCCGCCTCATCCGGACCTACCAGCTCTACAGCCGCACCAGCGGGAAGCACGTGCAGGTCCTGGCCAACAAGCGCATCAACGCCATGGCAGAAGACGGGGATCCCTTCGGTAAGGCGCGCTGCAGGACACCACCTCAGAGTAAAGGTAGCCTGTGAAACACACCACTCTTGACCTCACCGAGGCTAAATCCTGGGCTCCAGCTGCACCGGCCAGAGGCCTACTGGCTCCCCAGCTTAGAAGCGAAGGAGTTAAAACAAGTGTCTTGAGGGTCAGCTGGATAGACAGGGCTGGGAAGGGACGTTGGGGAGGACTTGGCCCACAGGTGCCCCCTTCCCTGCCCAGTAGATGAATCGAGGAATCTCCCTTACACCTCCCCCTTTATACACCTCTTTCCAGCTGCAGGTGGAGGCAGTGGGTTCAGGGGAGGGGGCCCAGGTTTGAGGGGAGCTGTTGAAAGAGGATACTGTGACCAGGGCCCACAAAAAGAGAGTGGGAAAGAGAAGGGAGAGAAATGCCCCCAGCTGTCCCAGCTTGGCACTGGGGGATACTGTGAATCTTTAAGTACTTTGATCAGAGGGGTCAGTTGCATAGGGGACTAGGCCTGGAAAGGGACCTTCCCTGCTCCACTTGCCTGAGACCCCAGGTGGCTGCCAGCAGCTCCCGGCTCCCTGTGGGGTGGTGAGTACAGGGAGCTACTGCTGGCAGAGACCGAGGACTGATTGATTTCTAAAACATTCAATATTCCTGCCTTGAAACAGGGCCAATTTTCAGAGACCTGGATGTACCAAGAGAAAAGCAAGCCCTCTGGGCGGCTGGTGTTGTTTTTAGAGAGCGATTATTGTGAGTTTAAAAACCTTTAAATAATGACCAAGTTAAACAATCATGAAAGGAGAGAGGAAGACTCTATTAAAATGTAATAAAAAGGTGAGGCATTTTAAGAGCTAAGAAGAAAAATGAAGAATGATATAAAACAGAAAAAGAACAAGCCTTTTTTCAGATGTGGAGTTTGAAAGGAGTTGCAAGTCTGTAAATGTTAAAAAAAGAGGTTCAAGATTGTTCTCTATGAATCTCTGGAGAGACCCCCGCGTCTGGCAGAGCGATTAAAACTCTTCTTACTTTCACCTTTTTTAACATTTCCTGAATACTTTCTCCTCTTCTCGAGCCAGTTTGGGGGATCGAGTATGTCTCGCTGCATTTTTTCTGCATCGACGTAGCTGACTTCCCTTCAAAGCTGGAGGAGGAGACATAATTTTCCTGGGATAAATCTGTCACTGGGGTGGAAGAATAGGTTTGAAAATGTTAAGCTTTCCAAAAGCCCGGTTAGGAAAGCTGCTGTAAACTGTGGCCCCAGCTCCCCAGATCCATCCAGGAAGGAGAGTCGGGGCTCTCTGAGTGGGGGTGGGGAGGGGTGGCCTGCCCGGTGGCCGAGCTCCCCTGCTGGGCTGGCAGAGCTGGCCTACGGGCCCTTTGTCCCTCCAAATTGGCTACATGCGGCCCTTCTCAGCTTCCAAGGACAGAGAACGAATGTCTGGCTCCTCCAGAGTTTTACTCTACTTGAGCAAATGGCCCAGAATCCTTGGATTTTGTGAAGGGAAGAAGAGGCCGAGCTGGCAGTGGGGAAATGGTCTTAGACATCAGAGGAGGTCTGATATCCACTTACTTCTCTCCTTAGACCCAGAAGAGGCTTTGGGGGTTCCTTGGGGCCCAAGGCCCCAAGAACAGAGGTGTAAGGTATGTGACTAGGACAGGAAGAGTCTGGGAAGAACAACAGAAAGGTCCCAGTTGCTTTGCTAGGTTACAGGAAGGGACAGAGGCTCCTACTCCATCCCTGTCTGTGTTGTTTGGCTCAGATCTTCAGAGTGGGGTCCTCTCATGGCTTCTCTAGACAGGGTCCTTCCTGGCCCTGAGAAGCAGCCCCTCCTTGCTCTGGAAGGCTTGGAAGGCAAACCCAAGAGGAATAAACTGGCTGGGTCCACGAGGAGGTGGCAGAGGAGGTGGCAGTTGCATTTCCCTGTGGACTTGAGACCAGGATGAGACTTTGCTTCCAATTCTGTGCCTATATGAAGAGGGGGCTGGGCACTGAGGACTGCCCTGCCAAGCTCAGTGCCCTCCAGTCTTGGTACTGGTTTTAGAGACAGAGTCAGGTATCAAGGTAGGCTGAGTCTACCTTGCTTTCTCAAGGAGGGAAAAGACAAACTCTGTCATAGGGAGGGCGGGAGACTCAGTCCCTTCTTATCAGCTAGATCAGCCTCTAGGAGAACAGCTGCTTGCAGAGGTGGCCAGAACCAGCTTCTGGGGCAAGTTGGCTACCTATGGAGGGAAGAAGGGGAAGAAGGCACGGAATTCAGCCCCTGCCTCCTGACCCTCCAGACTGGAGGCTAGCCTGCTTGAGTCTCTCCTCCTCACCCACAGAAAGTATTTGATCACTGGGTGAGAAGCCCAGCTGTGATGGAGATTGAAAGACAAAAGACATTGAGTTGTTGATGTCTGAACTTTGGGACTAGGGCCTGTGACAGGGAAGCCAAGAGAGTCAGATCCTCCCAGCTGGTATCTGAGTTTCTAGAAAGCAGACTGCTATGGACTGTGGCAGGGAGAGCCAGCCCCATCTCTATCACTTCTCAGAGCAGGGCTGCCCAAAGGGTGGAGATGGGGTTGGGGTGACCAAGGCTGTGAGTTAGAACTGAAGTGGCAGGAACAGGACAGAATGCTTTTGGCCTCAGGATTGGAGGTCACCACTACACCTGGATGTTCATAATAACTTGTCTGGCATGTGCACATAATATTCTGAGTTAGAAGGATCCTCAGAGAGCTTTTGATTAGCCATGGAACTCTGATTAGATGAAATTTTACTTGAAGCCACAACATAAAAGTTATCGAAGTCTAGTTTGAGAGTGGGGGAAGGAATGGAGAGTAAACCTTTTATGTGATGTGTGTGTTACTAGGGACTGAACTCAGGGCTTGAGCTTGCCAGGCAGACGCTCTACCACTTGAGCCATTTCCCCTCCAGTCCTTAGCTTTTTCAACTTGACACCCCAGAACTCCTGCAGAACCCAGCTTATAAAGCTGTGATCAATTCAAACCATTTTGTAAACCCAGAGGTGGGCCCTGACACCCAGAAAAGTGACTTCACCTTTCTCAGGATTGCACAACAAATCAGCTATGCTGGGGCTGGAGCCCATGTTTTGGGTTCCTAGGCCTTGGAGCATTGCCACTGAGATGTGACAAGTCTTTGGGCCAGCTTAGGTAAGACTGTGGAATAGCAGGGATCAGGGGCCTTCTGGTGACCATCCTACACCTTCCATGACAGCAAAGCTCATCGTGGAGACAGATACCTTTGGGAGCCGAGTTCGAGTGCGAGGAGCCGAAACAGGTCTCTACATCTGCATGAACAAGAAGGGGAAACTGATTGCCAAGGTGAGATCCCAGAAGGGAGGTGGGTCCTGGCTTGGGGGGAAAGGGGAGCTGTCTGGACTCCTCCAGGACACTCTCGTGCTCTGATCTTAGTAAGATGGACAGAGAGACATGGCCACCTCCAGGTTACCTAATGAATTGGGTGGAAGGTAAGGGAGAAGAAAGCTGCTTGAGAGACAAAAAGCTATCAAGACAAGGAGGCAGGCAAGGGAAGGGGCTGGGCTGGGGGGTTGGTAAATTCCATATATCTTTTTAACAAATCGTCAAATTGCTTTGCTATTATGTCCAATTACATGGTACCAGCATTTGGAATGTTCAGTAAGCCGCAGGCCCAGCCCCTCAGCCGAGCTCTGAAATGGCCCCATTAGTCACGGCTCCTCTCCAGTCTTGAGCTCCCTGCTTCCAGGGCTTGGGGGCTTGGGGCTCAGAGACTCCTCCCAGGCCTCCCCTCCCCCATAAGGTGGCAGCCCTAGGGCCGACCTTAGTCCTAAGGGGCTGAGTGGGGCAGGTGGGGAAACAGAGCCAGACCGGTGGGCAGGAGGCCAGAGCAGGCAGACTCTGGGCCCCTCTCCCTGCCTCTCTGCCTTGGGCCCAGCCCCTCTGTAGACAGCCATGTGTCACTGCTGCCCAGGAGGACAGGAAGTTGCCGGGTGGGCTGCGGGTTGTGAGGGATTAGAGAGCGGTACCCGGGTAGTGGGTGGGACCGGGCTCCTGCCCCCCTCGCCATCTGCTGAGGTGCCCACCTGCTGTCTCGAACCGCTGGCCCTCTGCCTTGCATGGGGGTGGGGGTGGGGGGCTCCGTAACGCGGCGTCTGGCCCCCCTACCTGCAGAGCAACGGCAAAGGCAAGGACTGCGTGTTCACGGAGATCGTGTTGGAGAACAATTACACAGCGCTGCAGAACGCCAAGTACGAGGGCTGGTACATGGCCTTCACCCGCAAGGGCCGGCCCCGCAAGGGCTCCAAGACGCGCCAGCACCAGCGCGAGGTCCATTTCATGAAGCGCCTCCCGCGGGGCCACCACACCACCGAGCAGAGCCTGCGCTTCGAGTTCCTCAACTACCCGCCCTTCACGCGCAGCCTGCGGGGCAGCCAGAGGACTTGGGCCCCCGAGCCCCGATAGGCGCCTGCCCGGCCCCTCCCCACCGCCCGCAGCCGACTCTTGTCTGTAGGAGCACGAGAAACTCCAGCAAGATGAGGGCTGCACTGCTAAGGCCGGGGAGGAGCTGGGGAGCTGCTGGTCTAGTTGTTGATATTGTTTGCTGTTGGGTTTGTTTGTTTGTTTTGTTTTGTTTTTTAAACAAAAGAGAGGCTCTATTTTTGTATTCCAGTGGTTGTGGCGTCTGTCTTCTTAGCTCCCAGGAAGGCCCATCAGTGGCCAAGACTGGTTTTGGGGGGGGTGCTTCCTGGATTGGGTCCGGGGAGGCTCTAGTCTGACAGAGGTGCTCCTGAGGCCCCAGCACTTACCAGGGCAACTGGTAAGGCAGCTGGGGATCCCCCTCCTCCCCAAGTGGGAGCAGGGAGCAAAAAGTGCAACCTAGGTCAGTTCCTTTAGGGATGGTTGTCAGTGGGGGTGGTTGTGTACTAGTTTCTATTAAATGACTGAAATATTTATTTAACTCGAATATTAGAACTGTGTGTTGGAGAGTGAGGCCTCAGTAATTAGTGCTTTTCCCCAGCTGCAAGTCAGGCATCAGTTCTGACTAGAGCCTCCCTCCAGCCTGACTACCCACCCACCCCTGCCTGTCGGCAGTCCCCATCACTGTCTCTGGAGGGGTTTCCTAGGAGGACAGAGCAGGGAAAGAGACCAGAAGAGGCTCTATGAGCTGGCCCTGGAGCTCTCAGACAGGAACCGCCTTACTTTTAATATGAGTCACTGCCAACATTTCCCAGGCCACCCCAGGGCCAGAAGGCTGATCAGGTTAGGGCCTGCCCTGAAATCAATGAAGTGCCTCTGTGTGCCCAGTCTATGTGGTACAGTTTGAAGATTCCAGAACTGTTTCTTTTTGAGAATCAGGCTTCAAAAAGTGAAAGAAAAGAGCAGCTGCCATGGTCCAAGGTGGGGGGTGTATTGGAGAGGGGGACCACCAGGGCTGGTGTTGACAATTGTGACCTGGGAACGAGTGTTAAACGTTTTGTGAGCGCTAGGCTGAGAGCTGTGAACAGAAAGTGCAGGCTCAGGTACAGCTAAGTTATCCAAGAAGAGGCTGACCTTGAAGAGGTGGGGCCTAGAGGAAGAAGAGCTGAACGTGTATGGGACCAGAAGGGCTCATGGACTAGAGCAGAACTCCAGCTAGGCCTGGCAGGGAAGCAGCAGGTCATTGTCAAAAGTATGAGCCTGCCAGGGAAGAAGGAAGACTAGGCCATGTGTTGGTGGTAGTGGAGGTCACAGTGTGGGCAGAAAGACTGACTGGTGGGTGGGGGCATGTGGTGTGTTTGAATGTGGAGCAGTGAGATTGGTATCACACTATGTCAAGGGAGAGACCAGGCCCAGAAACAGGTCTCCTGAGCCTAGAGCCAGCCCAGTCCTCACAATGAGGCCTTCCATTCTAGCGGCTTTCTCTGTCTTCTTTGAGGGTGTCCCTGGTTGTTCCCATAGCTCAACTGTGGGGCCAGTCCAGAAACCTCTTCCCTGTAAGGCCTCTGTTCTTTGGCACCTCACTTAGCATGGGTGGGAACAGTCAAAGGTTTTCTAACCATGGGGCTTCCTAGACTTTCGGCCCATCCAGCTGGATCAGGAATTCCAGGGCTCAGTGGAAAACCTTGGAGTAGAGAGGGTGAGGATATACCATGGACTCTGTCTACCCATTCCTGTGACCTGCAGGAGGGATGAAGGGCTCTGGATAGAGTGGGTTGTCCTAGTGCAGAGACACTAGGGATGTGGGGACGGGGCTGTAGACATCTCTCTCCCAGCTTCCCCAGCTCTTGGTGCCTGCTCCTCTGCTCCCCTCCCCCTTTAATTAATTCTGGGTGAGCAGCCTGGCTTTATTGTGCAAGGAGCTGGGGTCTCACTGTGGGAAAAGTCACACCTTCTGAGCAGCTTCTGATGCCATGCAAATGAAGAGACCGTCCAGGAAACGCTTTCATCTGCACGGTCGCCTGTCCAGCCCCCAGCCCAGTAATTACCCACATTTCATTTGTTTGAGAGCAATTCCTGGGGGAAGCCACAGGGTAGGAGGGAGTCTGGAGGGCGGCGGGGGGGGTGGGGGGCAGAATGTCAGGCTCTCTGCCTGTGATCCTGGCCACAAAGTGGGGCCAGGCCGGGCCAAGGCTGGTCACTGGCTAGGCCAAAGCTAAACCTCAAGCCTCCAGACTGGGGATGCCTAAGTCCTGGAGGTTGCTGGGGTGAAATTGGGCTGGTGTTTGTGTATAGGGACAAGATGTGAGTTGTACAGAGAACCAGACCTGCCTTCCAGAGAGGAGTGGGGTTGCCTGATAGGGGAGGGGCTAGAGGAGGTGGATAGGAGGGTGGGGATATGGTCCTTGAGGCTACTGAGCCTTTGGGAAGGGGATGACTCCAGCAGGCCCCCATTCAGGGAGCCATGGGAGCTGAGCCCAGAGCAGTGGTAGGAGGCTATGCTGGAGCACCCACCAATTTGTTTATCTTTGAGTTGCTGCCTCTACAGAGCCCTCGCTAATGGGGTTTTACAACCCACTCAAGCTGCAACTGGCCAAGAATCAATCATTACCGGCACTTAGTGGTTTGATAGTTAACAGCCTGAACTGAAGCCAAACTGGTTGTTAACTGTGATAACAACTGATTTCAAGGGGTTATTGCCGGCCCAGTATGCTCAGCCCATTTATTTCGGTGGGGGGAGACAAGCAGAGAGCTGTGGTAAAGCCCAGAGGAAGGAGGAGGACCCGGCTACCCACAGCCAAAAGGCTGACCACTCTGTCCCTGAGTTGGTGCTGGCTGCGAGGGCCCGGGAGCTGGCTGAGGTCTGCATGACCACCCAGCACTTCCCAAGGGCTATGCGTGGTTCTGCCCTTCTCCACAATTACTACCTCCACTTTTCTTATCTGTCCTCCTCTTATAGCACACTCCCCATGATGCTCTCACAGGAACAACCCCCATGGGGAGAAGCCTGGCCTACTGGCCAGGCCTCTCTACTTGTCTCCACCCAGCAGGGTGGGGGTCCTGGACCCCCTCAGCCATTTCTGTCTCACCTAAGGCTCTCAGAGCCTTGCCAAGTCTAAGCCAGAAACTTGCCTGTCATTTTGAAGCCAGCCCACATTTTACCTAGAAGGAAAGAGAGTTTTTCTCTTCCCATAGCACCAACTCCTGTCCATTCCTCCGGCTACCGGCCAAATGGAAGCAGGTGAGGTTATTATTGGTCAAGCATCATTCTAGAATGCTGCAGCAAAAGTGTTCAGGACTTCTCCCCCCACTACAGATGACCCAGAAGTTACATTAGTGCCAAAACTAGTGTCAGGCCTTCATTCCCAGGTCTAGGCTGCCTCTTGAGGACTGTAGGTTTTACAGTAATTCCACTAATTTTTTCAACAGGTCCCATTATGAATGCCCATTCTGAGTCAGGCTCTATACTGGACAGAGCCAACAAAGTAGACAAAAATCACTATTATTGTGGAACTCATCTTCTAGTGAGAGGGAAAGGATTCAGAGCTAACAGGAGAGTATCAAACACTGAAAGCCGCTACAGAGACAAATGCAGAGAAGGGAATGAGAACGAGTGTGAAGGGCAGGAGCTGGTGTAAACAGGGTGATCAAAGAAGGCCTCACTGATAACTTAGTGTTTGAGCAGACACCAGACACCAATGGTGGTGCGTCATTCAGATGTTGGGATGGGGCACCCAGGTAGAGGAACAGCAAGTAAAAGGTTTGCTGTTTTGGGGGAACAGGAAGGAGGCCAGCGTGGCTGGAGCAAACTGAAGGAAGGATTGAGCAGCTGTAGTTGGGGTAAGAGGACAGAGCCGAGGTGAGGCCCCAGAGATGGCAGGGATGGTGGCGAATGGCAGATCTGTGGGACTGTTGAAAAGACTCCAGCTTTGCCTCGATGAGGCGGTACCCCATTGTGGGATTCAAGTAGCAGCAGAGTGACATAAAGTGGATAGGATTGCTTTGGCTGCTGTGTTGAGAATAGACAGTGAGGGGAAAGGGGAATGAGTTATGAAATTACTGCAATAATCTAGGTGAGAGATAATAATGGATTGGGAGTGGCGAGCAGAGATTGGAATTTTAAATTCTTTTTGCAAGTAGAGATGACAGGATTTGCTGATGTGGCCTGTGTGGGGAGGAAAGGAGTATAGGGGTTGCCAAGGTTTCTGGGTTGAGCAATTAAAAGGATGGAGGCGCCATTTGCTGAGGTGGAGAAGATTCTAGGCAGGCAGGTTTAGAGGGGAGGAGTGGGAGTTTAGTTTTGGACATCTGAAGTTTGAGCTGATTCAATATTCTGGAGGAGATGGTGAGTGGGCAGTTGTGTGAGTCTGGAATTCAGGGGCAAGTTCTCATGAAACTATAGAAATTGGGGAGCATTCAGCACACAGGTGATTTTAACGCCAAGGAGACAGAATGGATTCTTGAAGTGGGTGGAAATAGATGAGATCCATGCCTGAGCCTTGGTGGGCTTCAACCATTTAGATGTGGGAGTATTGGCAAAGAAGATGGAGGAAATGTGGCCCAAGGGTGGGAAGAAACCCCAGACAGTGCCATGACCCAATAAAGCAGAAGACAGAACAGTTTCTGAAGCCTAGAGCTATAAGTAAGGTTGGGGGGAAGTTTCATCGTCATACTCCGTCTGTCCCCTTCTCTTCACCCTCACCAACCCCAGGGTCAAGAAGAAGAGGACAGACACCAGAGCTGACTTAACTTGGAACCTCCCAGATTTTTTTCTCATCAGCTGGTCCTGCTGGCTTTTACTTCCAGAACATCTCTCCATTTCAGTCCATCCATGGCCCTACTTGTCTGCTGCTACTCCCCTACCCCAAGCCACTGTGGGTCCTTTTTTCTTTTCTTTTCTTTTTTGGCTGTACTGGGGTTTGAGTTCAAGGCCTTTTGCTTGCTAAGCAAACAGTTTACCCCTTGAGCCATACCCATTGTGGGTTCTTGTCTGGCTTATGGCAATATCCCCCAAATCCAGCTGTTTTCCTCTTACCCCCTACAATTCACTCTGCAGTCCAGAGTGGGAATTTTCAAACCACAGATCTGATGGTGTTAACTCCCACCATATCTAGACTGAAATTCAAGCTATATTCCACAGCCTGGGCAGTCTCCTAAGTGTGCTTGGACCCAGTTGACCTATCTAACTTCACTGCCTACCCACCATCCTCACCTGCCCCCTCCTAGTTTCTCAGACAAGCCAAGCTGGAATC